CATCATGAACCGACCACTCGCATTTTAATGATATGGATGGGGATACCATAGTTAAATCAAGGCCATTGGGTCTCCAAATATGAGAGCCAACAGTAGTAACTTGCTTATCATTTAATAGTACCAAATTACATTCATCTAAACAATCAAGAATGTCTTTACCTCTTGTATTAGTGGAGGTACAACCCCACATAGTATGATGTGCATTTAAATCTCCAGATATGATAGTGGGTTTAGGAAGAGACTCCAAAAAGAACTTAAATTTGGCTTTAGTAAAACTAGGTGTACTATTGGTAGGACAGTAAATACTGGCAACTGAATACCAAGAATTATTAACTTCAATACTAATAGCTATAGTTTGCAAAGAATTGTCGAAAAAAGAGTGAAGTTTTTTATATCTAATACTATTATGTATAATAATCGCTACTCCATTGTGGTTATTACCACAATCATTTCGTTCTATACAATAATCTTTAATTTTTAATTTGTAATGTGGTTTTAGCCAAGTTTCTGAGATGAGAGCAATGTGAATATGATGTTCATTTAAAAATTGTGTAAAAATATGTCGATTGCTCAGTAGGCTCTGAGCGTTCCACTGTATGATAGTTAATTGGTCTCGATTGAATTTTGTGAAATAGGTCTATTACCAAAAGTATCATATAACACATTCAAAACACTTTTAGTGTTAATAGATGTGTTCTTTGTGTTATGTAGTGAAATAAGTTTGATTATGCTTTCTATTAAAAGTGATAAACTCTTGTTATCAGAATTTAGAATTGAAATTAGGTCTACATTTTTTTTAGGTTTGTTACCCAGTTTAGGAAATATTTCAGTGCTAAGTATATCTCCAAAAGAAGCAGGTCTGAATTTAGATCTATTTTCAGCAATTTTCTTTTGTTTAACAGGGCATTGCGGTGATACACTTGTGTGATTTCCATTGCAGTGTACACAAATAGCGTTTTCCATTCCAGTTGTACAAGTTTTATAATTATGCTCACCTTTGCAGATGCTGCAACACTCAGAATTCTTACAGAATTTAGCTAAATGTCCATACCTCAAGCACCGGTAGCATTGTTTAACTGGTGGTATATATGGAGTGACATTGTGGCGCCAACCTCCAATATCCAGATATTCAGGTAATACAGATGCAGCAAAAGTAATTGTCACGGTTAGAGTTGGCTGTAACACATATCCATGAGTCAAGGTATTTTTTCTTAAAATTCTTTTAATAGCAATAATTTTCTTAGAACTCGATATCATAGTATATATTTTTTTATTAGATATATTTGTAGGTACATTTCTAATAACGCCTGTAACTTCTGTTGAAGAAGCAGGAATACTGGCCTTAAAATGGTAGTCATTTAAAAAAGTTTTATTATTTAAAAAAGCATTGGCTAAGTCTGGCTTTTGAAAGTATACTCCGATTTTGAATTTATTTATAGATCTAAGATAAGTTACCCCTTTATTAAAACGTTTTAAACAGGAGGAGAGTGAGAGCAAGTCTCTGGATCCAATGGTTTTCTGACTATCTGAGGATTCTACAAAGACAACAAATTCTGTCCCAGGGGATTCCTCGGGATATCTTCTAATATAATCTGTGACGTAGTAAGGTTTATACTTATCGGCCTTATCAATTTCAGATTCTGAGTCAGTAGAAGTATCTTCCGAATATATATCCTTGTCATTACAAGGTTCATGGTCTACATCACCTGAATCGTCATCTTTTTTTTTCCTTTTCCTACAACTGCGCTTCCCCATGAATGCTAATTATATTACTGTCACTGAATTTAGTGAAAATATAATATTTTATTCAATAATAAGAATTGATAGAGATAGTTTTTATAAATTAATAAAAAAAATTTAAAAAACCCGCTTGTTCTTATTCGAGTTTCCCGCCTTTTTTTCGTTAGGTTACATTTTCGGTTCTGTAACATTATTTTGACAGCTGTGGAACGTTCCGTTCCACGTAGGAACTTATCAAATAGCGGTGCAAATACTTCAAAGAGGCACAAACATATTGCAGTACCTTGGTGGAATAACAGGTGTGCGACAGCTGTCAATGATAGTAAAGCGGCTTACCTTAGGTTTAAACAAAATCCAACTCTCGATAATTACATAAATTTTAAAAGAGTTCAAGCTGTTAAAAGTTAGTAATTAAGCAAGTAAGACAACAGGGGTGGCAGGAATTTTGTTCCAAATTTAATAGATTAACACCAATTTCCACTGTTTGGCAAAATATGAGAAAACTAAATTCAAAACATCGTCAAAATCATTTTAAAGATATATCATGGGTCAATGATTTTTTACGCAAATATACTCCTGATTTTGTACACTCACCTTTTGATGACAAACAGTTTAATTCTGTTAATTCATGCCCAAAATTTCTCACTGACCCATTCTCAATTGATGAAATATCCAGTGCAGTAAAATCTAGAAAAGATACAGCTAGTGGCCTTGATCGCTTAACATACAATATGTTTCGATTGCTGAATAAAATAAACCTTACTAAACTCTTACAAATTTTTAACGATTTATGGAAGGACTGTATTATCCCACCAGAATGGAAAATGGATTGTTTGATTCCAGTAATTAAACCCGGTAAAGATCCTACAAATTTCGACTCCTATAGACCTATAACATTGACGTCCTGTGCAGGCAAATTATTCGAACAATTAATTAAACAGCGTTTAGAGTTCTTTATTGAAAGTAATAGTATATTACCATCGAATCAATTTGGTTTTCGCCGTGGATATTCAGCGCGCGAAAGTTTAGCGAACTTCTATGTCGACCTTAGTACTGCTTTGAATAACGATGAATATGTTCTATCTGTTTTTTTAGATGTCGTAGGAGCTTTTAACAATGTAAATTTAACAGTTCTATCTTCGATTCTATCCTCATTTCTTCCAATGAAACTTATCGAATGGATTTATAATTTTCTTAGTAATAGAGAAGTGTATGTTAAAGTAAATAGTAAATTAATAGGACCTAGGTTAAGCTCTAAAGGAGTATGTCAAGGTGGTATTTTAAGCCCGCTACTATATATTTTATATATCTATAAACTTAATTTAGTTTTAGGAAACAGTGTGAACAACTTGCAATTTGCCGATGATTTATTAATTTATATAAAAGGAAAGAATATTATTGATATGCAATTAGTGTTAAATGAGTCATTAAAAAGACTTGAGAAATATTTTTCTCTTCTTTCCCTCGATATTAGTTTAACCAAAAGTAAAGTAGTTGTTTTTCATCAAGTTCATAAATATGTTCCATTAATGAATATTATATATAATAATCAAACTCTTCCAACAGACTGTAGCGTTAAATTTCTGGGGGTAATTTTTCATCAAAATTTAAAATGGGATCTATACGTTGATTGCTTAGTAGATCGTGCTTTAAGAGCCACTAATATAATAAGATCTGTAATTGGTCGTAACTGGGGAGCTGATCCTAAAATTATCCTTTTACTTTACAAATCTCTTGTTAGAAGTAATTTTGATTACGCTTTCTTTTGTTATGCCTCAGAACATAAATTAGTAGAAAAACTCGAAAAAATTCAAAATATGAATTTAAGACTTATTTTAGGTGCTATGTATACTTCTCCAATTATCTCAATGCAAGTAGAATGTAATTTGCCTCCTATCCTTCTTCGTTTCGAATACCTAAAACTCAAATTTCTCTTCAAAGTTTTTTCAGTTTCCAATAACCCACTCATACTCAAATTATTAAATTGCCCCATTTCTATGTTTTTGAATAAAACTATTGTCAATGATTTGAATTTACGAGATGAATATAACATCTATAGTAGTAAGATACTTCCTTGTTATAATGGCCTTTATGAGAGTAAGTTCTGTAAGATCAAAATTGTTATACGTAAAGACATAAAAGAAAAGCACGATATGTATGAGACTTTATCAGAATTTATTGACTACAGGCAGATATATACAGATGGTTCCAAAAATGCACTTAGCACTTCAGTGGCTTTTTACGATTTGTCAAATAGATTTGGTCACGGTTATAAAATTTCAACTTTGGCTAGTATTTACACAGCAGAAGCAAAAGCTATATTTTTAGCATTAGAATACATAGAAAAACAGGTACTATATTCGAAATGGATTATAATTACAGATAGTATGAGTGTTCTTATGGCATTAAAAAATAACACATTCATTTCATCATCAAACTACTTAATTCAAGAAATTCGTAATAAATATTATCATCTCTGTACTATATATGGAAAAGATATTATCTTCATCTGGACCCCTTCACATATTGGAGTGTTTGGGAATGAACAAGTAGACACTTTGGCTAAAATTATTAATTCAAGTGCTGCTCGTGTTCAAGATTTACCCCTTTGTTATTCAGATTGTAGTATTGGAATACATAAAATCGTTACAACTAAATGGGAGGAGCATTGGACTCAAATATTACAGACTAAAGGCAAATGGTACCGCAAAATTAATTGGCGTATTGGAAAACCGTGGTTCTGCAAAGGAAAGGACACAAACAGAAAATTTTACACCAATATTTGTAGATTACGAATCGGCCACGGACATTTCAACGAACACCTGCACCGAATGGGCATGATCGCTTCCCCATCATGCACATGGTGTAATCAAATACAGCCCAATCTCTACATCACCTTTTTTTTGATTGCTCTGAATTTGTCATTCAAAGACACATTATGTTTGACGAACTTAGGATTATCTTCAAAAAACCCGAAAATATCCCGCACTCAATCCCGCTTCTCTTAAGATTTCCTTCTTGTTTCAAAGCTATTTTCACTTATATTACTACAACATTCAAGGAGCTATAAGAATACTTTTATTGAATTGCAAGACAATGATTTTTTATAATTATTTATTTTTAATTTGATAAATCCACTGGTTTAAGAAAACCCAAGAAAAGATATTTATGAAAATGTACTTACCGGATTTGACAAATGAAATATTGAAGATTATGACAATAATTGAAGCGACATTAGAAAAATAAAATTCCAGACAAATTATCTTTTTGAAGACTAGGCAGCATGGTCTCCGACCTTAGCCTGTTCCAAACGGAACAAACGTACTAAAAAAAAAAAAAAAAATATTATTATAATAAAAATATCACTTATATAAATATAATTGACCTTGTAAATATGGATCGAATAAGTAAATTAGAAAAAGAAATTATAGATCTTCGCAGAGTACTAAGCAATAAAGAGAAAGAATTGTATGAAATAAAAAAAGAATATACACAGGTCTGTAGTAATATTTATGCTTTGATTACTTTATTTTACTTGTACGTTACACATGATTCTCTGATTTAGTAAGCAATACTATCTCAAGGTTAGTTCTTTTATGTTATTTTCACCATAACAACGTCAGTTTACACTTTGCTGTGTTTATTCCACGTGACTGTATTTTTATTTAATAGACGCTAATGACATGGTAGCCCTGGAAACCATTGTGATTAATTTATTGTTAGATTCGTTACGGTGGGCTAACTGACCTGCTTTATCCTCACCTATCATCCCTTACTGGTGCCCCGTCAGTGTATACCGTTAGCGCAGGCAGGGTTACCATTCCATTATCATCTATTAAAAGAGCACTAGCAATGGGACTGGTAGTTTACCAACAATCTCTTTAGATCCCAACATTATTAAGGTTTTTTTTATGCAACTTAGAATAGTAAACAGGCTGACGGCCCACCTGATGGAAATTAGTAACTGTCGCCTATAAACATGAGCAGTATCGTGGACATAACAGAGTATATTGTTTTAACCATGATACCTCCATGCGTTGCAATTCCCGAGGACTCGGGTATTATATACCCTGTAAATTCACTGCCATATCCCACCATTTAAACCAAAACATAGCTATGCAAACAACTGTTTCACAGTAGAAACACGAATGGGATAGAGGTGGCAAAGCAACTTTTGTACAAAGACTCCCTCTGTGTGTGTAGTTATTTTAATATTGTTTTATTAGCATTTTATTACCATTTTTATAATTAATCTATCAAATATATATTTCAGCAACAAGCAAACATACAGATAGAGCTTGAAACCCAATATACACCCTACAACAATGCTGTAAAGACACAATATGGAGATAATCTACCTAAATGGGCTGTAGAGAGGTATGTTTATATATATATATATATATATATATATATTTTTTTTTTTATTTATGGGTGAAAATGATATGGTAACCCTGCGCTAACGGGATATGCTGGCGGAGCACTAGTGAAGGGTGATTGATGAGAATGAAAACAGGCCAGTTAGCCCATCATGATGAATTCATCAGGAATTCACCATGATAATTTCCAGGGTGAACCACGAGGAGGTCGACCTGGTTGGGTATATTGCTAGCAATGGGATTCTCAGTCTCCATTACTAACAATCCCTTTCCCCCTACCATTCCATTATCGTCCATTAAAAAAAGATATCTATGGGAAAGCAAGGCATGTTTATAAGTATGTTGCTTAAAAAATTCTAGGTACAGTCGTCAGATTCTATTGCCGGACATTGGTGTAGCTGGACAGGCGAGACTGTGCAGCGCGAAGGTGCTGGTGGTGGGAGCTGGTGGCCTGGGCTGTCCTGCTGCCATGTACCTCGCGGGCGCTGGCATTGGTAATCTCGTGTTTTGTTTCTTTTTTTGAATGAATGATTTTTTTTTTATGGGAGAAAATGGTATGGTAACCCCGCCTGCGCTAACGGGATACGCTGGCGGAGCACCAGAGGTCAACCTGGTTGGGTATATTGCTAGCAATGGGATTCTCAGTCTCCATTACTAACAATCCCTTTCCCCCCTGGCAGGCAGGTGGACAACCCCAATTAAGCTTGGGGGAAATTGTTAGTAATAGTTAGTAGTAGTTAGGGAGGCTAATGTTCACCAGTGGACAGTTAAAGGCTGGTATGGCGATGAGTTTTTGAACATTTTCTATCATTTTTCTGTGTCTACACATTGCAGGTGAGATTGGCATAGTGGACTATGATGCAGTGGAGCTTACTAACATACATCGCCAGATCTTGCACAGAGAAGGTGATCAGCATATGAGCAAGGCTGAATCAGCTGCACAGACCTTGAGAAGGTGGGTGGTATCACCATAGAGTCTTTTGAAGTAGCTTGTACTGGCACCTCTGTCTCACTGGTGTTTCTGTTAAGCAGTTGTGCTTGCATGGATGTGTTTTGGTGTGTATGGTTGGATGTGGAAGTGAAATTAATGTGTATTGTGACTTGAAGAAATAAATAAATCCCTTTCAGGGATAAGCCCTCCCTTGCTAACAAGTTGTTAAACTAATTACTGTAACTTTTGTTCAAGTGCAATATATATAATATATATATATATATATATATATATATATATATATATATATATATATATATATATATATATATATATATATATATATATATATATATATATATATATATATATATATATATATATATATATATATATATATATATATATATATATATACATATACATATGGTATGTAATTTTGTTATTTATGACGAAATCGAACTTGGCTGCAAAGAATATATATATATGTATGTATATATATATATATATATATATATATATATATATATATATATATACCATGAAGTAACAAACAAAAAAAAAATAACGCTCAACCTTAGAACCTTTTTTTTAAGTTGGTTGAGAATATGTATTATTCTCACCTTCATGTACAATATATATACTTTATACATGTAAGTAAAGTAAATTAAATTGCTCGGGCCCTCAAGTGTCGCCTGTGGATTTTAATAGTGTCATGCACATCATAGGATACACTGTGACGACCATAGTAGGTACTCCACATGCGTTGCTAATGTAAGGACTAGGGCAGATGGATAAAATCTTTATTTGCATCAAGAGATACAGGAAAATTGTGAAAATAATAACAAAAAAAAAAAAATAATACATTATATTATTCTCAATTTCGTGTATAATATAGTATATGTCATATATGTGTAAGTATATTTGTTATTTATATATATCTATTCGTTTATATATGTAATTTTAGTATGTAAGTATATCAATAATTACTAGTACCGCATTCGTGTATTCTGACACTTGCCTATGGTTGACTGGGAGAGAATGCTTCTAGCATTAAGTCTGCCATGTACAAAGTATAAATAAATATAATCCTATTTGTTAATTTCAGCATCAACTCAAGGATCACCATAACTCCATACAATGTTCAGTTGGCGAGTAGCAACGCTATGGACATAGCGTCCCGGTACGACGTAGTCCTGGACTGCACCGACAATGTACCCTCGAGGTATTTGCTCAACGACCTCTGCGTTATGTCCAAGGTACCATCAACTGGAACTGCTTCCCTGAAGTAACTATCTACTACCAGTTTCAAAATTAATTTACAAAAATTCTTAATTGAGAGGCAAAAGTTAGACATTCCAGCAAGTTACCTCTCTGTTCCATTTGTCTGCTAGATAGACTGTCATATCTGTCTGTTTACTGTATGGATAATCTGGTAGTATTGTTTCATTGTTACCCTACCCCCTTTGGCCGCAACAGAATATCAGTGCACTGCTCTTTTGAGGGCGAAGCAATAAACTGAGTTGTGACCATTTTGTATTGCTATGGCACACGCACAAAAGGAAAATTGTACTTGGCTTTATGTATTTTTTTTAATCATTTATGTTACCTCGCTTTTTATGTATATCTGTATATGTTGTAATTTGTGTGCTGTAAGTAATGCAAATAAATTATCTATCTATCTATCTAACTACTTTTTGCAGCGTCCACCATGTTTTTTTTAATGGGTGATAATGGTATGGTAACCCCGTCTGCGCTATCGGTATACACTGGCGGGGCACCAGTGAGGGATGATTGGTGAGGATGAAAGCAGGTCAGTTAGCCCATCCTGACGAATTTTACTAGAATTAGCCACAATGGTTTCCAGGGGGAACCATGCGTGGAGGTTTTCACCAGAGGGAGACTTTGTACAAAAGTCAATTGATTGGGTACCTCTGTCCCATTAGTGTTTCAACCGTGAAGCAGTTGTGTTTGCATGGCTGTGTTTCGGTTTGAAGGGTGGGATATGGCGTCAGTTAACAGGGTACAGAGGAATAACATATCAATCCCCTGGAATGGCAACAAATGGGGAGTATCATGGGCGAAACAGTACACTCTGTTATGTGCATGGTACTGCACTTGCCTTTAGGTAACGGCTTCCACTTTCCATCAGGCGGGCCGTCAGTTTCTTTACCATTCAAAGTTGCGTAAAAGTGTCTCTAAGTGTTGTGGGTTATTCAAATAAATATACATTCATTAATTAATAAAAAAAATTTACAGAAACCACTAATATCGGGCAGCGCATTAAAGATGGAAGGCCAACTCACTGTCTATGGATATCGATCAGAGAAGAATACAAATGAAAAGGTAAGAAAGAAATATCATATTGTGTAATTTATACCAAGCCAGTCGAATATTTGTGTATCTCCCGGTATAGAATAGGCCACCCCTTCCTTTCCCGTGTATATATATATATATATATATATATATATATATATATATATATATATATATATATATATATATATATATATATATATATATATATATATATATATATAGTTTAACCGCATTTGCATCGCATATCGCAGTTTTCAACAATAAGTGTCATATATATTTTTTTAAGTTGATTCTATTTATCCTTTCCAGGATGCACCATACATAGGTCCGTGTTACCGCTGCGTGTTCCCCTCCCCCCCACCACCGGAGGCGGTCGGCAGCTGCTCGGCCAACGGGGTCGCGGGACCAGTGCCCGGGCTCATAGGTACGTAACCAGTTTGTAAATGGACAGCTCTTTTTAAATCATTTGGAAATATTGAAAAATGCTCAATTCGACCACTCTTTGGAATCCACTTCCAGCTGCATTATTTCCAAATTGATATGACATCGTAACCTTCAAGAAATAAGCATATTCCTTTTTAAAAGGCCGACAGTACACCTGCAATGCCTCTGTTCATTTACCATCAGGTGGGCCGCATGCCCTCTGTGTTATAAAAAAATAACACAGCGTTAGGCTGGGAAAAGGTCTCCCTCAGGGGGGTAGTGTTTGTTAGTAATGTGGAGTCCCATTGCTGACAATATATTATGTTTTTTTAATGAGTGATAATGAAATAGTAACCCCACCCGCGCTATCGGTATACACCGGCGGGGCACCAGTGAGGGATGATAGGTGAGGATGAAGCAGGTCAGTTAGCCCATCGTGACAAATTCAACAAGAATTAACCACGATGGTTTCTAGGGCGGACCACGTGGAGGTCGAGCTAATAGGACATATTACTAGCGATAGAGTTGTCAAACTCTATTAGTAACAATCCCTTTCCCCCCATTCATCCCTCACTGGTCCCCCGTCAGCGTATACCGTTACCATTTCATTAAAAAAAGTCTCTTTTGTAGGGATGGGTAATATGCAGCAACATTTTATTTTAGTTTGCATGGTTGTGTTTCGGTTTGAAGGGTGGGATGTGGCAGTGAATTTACAGGGTACAGAGGAATAACACCTCAGGAGTGGCAACGCGTGGGGGGTATCATGGGCGAAACAGTATACTCTGTTATGTCCACGGTACTGCTCATGTCTAAAGGCGACGGTTACCTCTTTCCATCATGTGTGCCGTCAGCTTGTTTGCCATTCTGAATTGCATAAATAAATAAATAAATATTTTTCTCTGCAGGCTGCCTCCAAGCGTTGGAAGCGATAAAGTATATAGTGGGACATACACACGGACAACTGCTGGTGGAGAGGATGCTGCTATTTGACGGTGAAGACAGCAGCTTCAGAACTGGTACGTTATCAGTAATAATATCGACTAGTTTAACCCTTCTTTGCATGTTTTTTTATTGGTGAAATAAATCAAGGTGATATAATTTATGTTCAAAATTAAAGGAAAAATGGTTAAAGAAATGAATGTGACATCAAATGACAGCTATGTTTTTTTTTTCTGCAATGGACATTAAAAAGGTATCCAGACACGATCAACTTAAAGTGAACTTGTTCTTTTATAAATTTTTTGGGCGTTCAATGTTTGTGTGAATTTACTGGGTACAGAGGATAACACCTGAGTCCTCAGGAATGGCAACGCGTGGGGGGTATCATGGGCGAAACAGTATACTCTGTTATGTCCATGGTACTGCTCATGTGTATAGACGACGACTACCACTTTCCATTAGGTGGGCTGCAGCTTGTTTGCCATTCTAAGTCGTATAAAAAAAAATGTTATGATGAAAATTTCCACCATTATGCAAAAAAGGGTTAGATAATTTGCAGTTTTACTGTACTAGGTGTTATCTTGCGGGAATCCATATCATTGGTTACTTGATTAGAGTTATTTTGTTTAATTCCGCCACCGTTAGTATGTGTGCGACTGCCAACACTTGAAGACTGACCACCATTATCACTACCAGAGGTTATCCAATTTTCCATGTTAATATTATATATATATATCATATCCATATCAGGCTTTTATTGTCCACTGCTGAACATAAGCCTCTCGGGGGGGGGGGGGGGGGGGGTTGATAGATGATAATGGAATGGTAACCCCGCCTACGCTATCTATAATATCTATAAGGGCTATAAGGGAGGGCGAGAGATGAGCAGTAGAGTTCCTCTTAAAACATCTCATCATCATGGAGGCCAGTCTCCATCAATATACCTTATCAACAATTACAAGTTTCCCTCCAATAATAAGTATTTCTTGTTAATGTCCGCAGTTAAACTTCGAGCCCGTAACCCGCAATGTGCTGTGTGTTCAGAGAATGCTACCATATCACAACTGGTGGACTACGAAGCATTCTGCAAGGCGCAGGCTAAAGAGAAGGTATGTATAGACACCTCTGTCCCATTCGTGTTTCAACCGTGAAGCAGTCGTGTTTGCATGGCTGTGTTTCGGTTTGAAGGGTGGGATATGGCGTGAATTTACAGGGTACAGAGGAATAACACCTGAGTCCTCAGGAATGGTAATGCATGGGGGGTATCATGGGTGAAACAGTATACTCTGTTATGTCCATGACACTGCTCATGTGTATAGGCGACGGTTACCACTTTCCATCAGGTGGGCCGTCAGCTTGTTTGCCATTCTAAGTTGTATATATAAAAAAAAAAAAGATTTTGATAAGATTTCTATGGGACCAGTCAGTTAGTGTATATTTTTAGATACAAAAAAGAATTTTCCAAATTTTTGTTTTGAACTGACGGAGTTCTGAGGTAGGAAACATAAAAAAACAATACAATTAAAATTTAGAGCCTCCTTCTTTTTGAAGTCATTTAAAAATGACTTCAAATATATTTATGATTAAGGTTATCTAAATAAAAAATATTTTTATTAATTTCGTGGCCAATTTTTTTTTTTTACACAACTTAGAATGGCAAACAAGCTGACTGCCCACCTGATGGAAAGTGGTAACCGTCGCCTGTAATTAAGTTTTGTTGTTTTTATCGCACTCTCCAAACGGAATTAGTAACAGGTTCAATCAATTGATTGATGTTTGATTGATTTATGCATTCCCAACAAACTTAACAGACGAACCCTTAAAAGGGGAAGGCTTACAAGACCATGATACGACTTACTGTCTTGTATGAATTAGAGGGTTTACCATGAAATGTTTTCCGAAATTTTGGGACCGAACGATACACAAATTTGATTTTAAACTTACATAATACATCATTATTATCATTATATATGCCTTTAACTGTCCACTGCTGAACATAGGGGGAGGCCCCTTGGGGGGTTTTTGCTAGTAGTTGTCACGCTCGGCAGGCGGATTTGTAAACGCAGTTAGGCTTTAGAGATGTTTTAAGAGGGACGCTGCTGCCCATCCCTCGCCCTCCTTAATCGCCTCTTACGACACCCACGGTAAACGAAGGGGTGGCCCATTCTATGCCGGGACCACACGGCGAGTGGTTATGCTTAATCAGTTAAAATTTTGCAAATGAAATTTAAATGCAACTCAAATAAATATATATAGAATATGGGATATGGATAAGAAAGTGGAAGCGTTAACTACATTTCGGGGACATATCGGTCTTTGGGGGCATCGACTTTTGGGACATTAAATATTTTATAAAGTGCTCCCTTCTACATTTCTTGGGCATCGGCTTTTGGGCACATAGACTTTTAGGAATATTAAACATTTTATAAAATGCCGCCTTTTACATTTCGGGGGCTTTTGGGCTTTTTTGGGGCATTGGCTTTTGGGGACGTAGATTTTTGGGGACATTAAATATTTTATAAAATGCTCCCTGCTACATTTCTTGGGCATCGGCTTTTGGGGACATAGTTTTTGGGGATATTAAATATTTTATAAATGTTCCCTTCTATATTTCGGGGCCATAGGCTTTTCTGGGGTACTTTAAGCTGAAAGCGCATTTAAAAGGTCCACTGAATTTGAATTTGCACGTGATGAAAACGCCCCATTTTGATTATACATTTAGTGTATTACTGTGACCTTCAAAACTGCGAATGTTGTACTCAAGGTAAGTTGAATTTGTATTATTTTTGTTTAAAATAAAATTTCTGTCATATCGATCCAAGTAACTGTGACATTCGCGGTATTGAAAGACATACAGGTTTACGATTTGGTCCTCGTGACCGGATATGTTCACTGACCGAGATAAAAAGTAGCTTATATCCTTCTTAATCCCATATAAATGTATACGTAATTTTATAGTGAATAGTTAAGCCGTTAAGGTGCTAAGTGGTAAAAACGAATCATGATTATGAAAGTTATAGACGTATTAAATGGGAGGTCGCATCCGTTATCACCCCAGTCTCCTAACGACTGAAGCATCCAGTTATGAGTAAAATAAGTTTAAGAGTACAGCTTTTATGAGAGACCAGACCTCCTTTCCCTGGAAAATAATGTTTTTAACGTTAATGACTAAAGGAGTATCACAATAAAGTTTATCTCTCTCTCGTTCTCTCTCTCTCTTTATATATATATATATCTCTTTTGTGCGCTTTCTCTATTTATATATATATCTCTCTTTCTCTCTCTGACACGTGACACCCATTTAAAGATGCCCTTAGTCGCTTGTGATGGCATTTCCGGTTTAAGAAGGATATTAGGCACGCATATATCGAAAGTTATTCCTGTTCACTATCTAGAATTTTTCTTACAGAAAAAACAAGAGGCTCGCCTCAAATCGGAGCGACGGAAACAAGAGAAAGAGAAGAGGATGACGGGACAGAGTTACTATGGATTTCGAGTTACGAAATTCGCAGATACCAAGAAGTGGATACAAGATGTACCCAAATCTGAAAGGCGAATAGGTCCCGCGTGCACCTCAGAGTTCTGTGCCAAAGGTACAGCCAGATTCTGCTCACATTTCACAGAAGATCAGAGACAGGAGATCTTCAGCTACTTCTGGAACTCTCTAGACTGGAAAGGGAAGAAGAATTACGTTAGAGGACTAGTCGACAGTGTACCACCAAAACGGAGAAGATTAAAACACAAAGGAGAAGTATCCAGAAAAGGAGATTCTAAACTCTACCACTTGTACAATAAGGACGAAAGACAGCCTGTTTGTAGACTGATGTTTTTGAACACATTAGGTATTAAAGAAGCCATGGTCAGGTGTTGGCTAATAAAAGAAGACAAACCCAAATCGCCAAAGAAACCAGTTAAATCGTTAAATGTAGATTCCTATATAGACAACTTGCCCAAAGAGCCAACAAAGTGTCAATACTGTCTAAACTCAGGTTGTAACATAATGTATGTATGTTTAGATGTTAAAAGTCAACATCAATTGTATAATAAATATACTAAAGACATGAAAGCGAAAAACATAGCTCCAGCGTCGAGGAAAACGTTTTCAAAAGTGGTACTCAAAAAAAACGTTAGAATATTCAAGCCCAAAAATGATACAGACGTCTGTGATCTTGTAGCCCAACATAATGTTTTACCAAGCTTGGGATATCAGAATTTACAAAAGAACGAATTGGAAAATCAAAATGTTAGTATTAATTATTATTATAATGCCCAGTGGTGAATTATATGGTATGTCGAAAAGACTTGGTACAGAATTGATTTTTTGGTCAATGTTGTAGTGCTTCTGGCGCACACAATGGCTGTGCTTCTATAGATGTGGTTTCATTTGAAGAGTGAGCTATGACAGAGAAATTACTGAATATAGAGACAGCACTTTAGCCTTTAATAGTGATAATGCATAAGAGGTGCCGAGATATTGCATTTATCTATTCTTTATTGATCACGTTTCAGAAATATGTTTGGTACAAAAGGTTGATTTAATATTGTCATCATCATTATCAGCTTATAACTGTCCGATGCTGATCACAAGTCTCCCCTTTGGGGGGTTTTCCCAGTAGTTTTGCCACGCTTAGCAGGTGAATTGGCAAACACAGCTAGACTTTAGAGATGTTTTAAGAAAGACGCTATTGCCCAACCCTCCCCCTCGTCGTAATCCTCGTCTTAATCGTCGGTGTCATAACCGACGGAAAAGGAACGGTTGGCTTATTCTATGTTGGAACCATAAAGTTTTCTAGTATTATATTCCCAGTCAACCTTTGAAAAAAACTGAAATATAAATATGTATTGAAAAATATTGAAAATTTGCTGTGTTTAAATGTACATTTTATTGTATAATGTCTATGGTTCTGTTCATGCCCATTCATTGTTTGGCCATCAGTTTTTTTGGCATTCCAAGTAGTATAGAAAATTTGATTTGAGAGCTTAATTGAGAGATTTACTTGTTGACGCCTAAATATCGTCCACTGAATTAATATTTCTTGGATTGTTAATTAAGCTGATGAATTATGACCTTTACGAATTAATTGTACAATTATTGGCATGTAATAATTCGACTTGAAAAAGAGGTAGGTTCTCAAATTTTGTGAAATTTTTGTAAATTTTAAATTATATAAATTTAAAAGTGGACCCAATATTGATCCTTGCGTTACACCCATCGTAATAAGCTCCAGTTTATTGCAAACTGTTGTGCGATTTGTTTTACCGTTGAATACAAATTAAATGAAATTACACGCTGTCACCGTCTACTACTGAGCGGCAATTGTTGCTGCACAAAAAGTGGTGGTACCTCAAGGACCAATTTTAAGTCCACTTTTGTTTTATATTTTCAAATTAATTTTTGCCTTATTAACTCGACATATTTATTACGTAGTATTAGTCATTAATATATAACTTGTAACAAATAAATAATAATAAATATAGCAATATAATTGTGCCTTTGTTTATTTAAGCAATTTTTTCATTATGTCAGATGTCGAGCCTCTGTAAATATTTCAAATGTTTTGTGTTTCTTACATTAGTAGGCAATTGGCCTTCAGTTTGTGTATACAAGTGTGTGCGTGCCTACAACTTTGTAATTCGACTGTTACAGTAATTTAAGTAAATTATGAAAAATAAATTATTATTTTTTATTAAATATTTTTATTTTTCCTCCTTGGTATTTACCTAATTAACCAACATCTACAAGGGGTTTTTCAGTTTACGGGTAAACTGAAAAACCCCTTGTCATTCTTTATATATATATATATATATATATATATATATATATATATATATATATATATATATATATGTATAAAGGTGTTTTTTTAATGGTAACAATGGAATGGTAACTCCGCCTGCACTGTCGGTATACGCTGGCGTGGTACCAGTGGGAGATGATAGGTGAGGATGAAAGCAGGTTAGTTAGCTCATTATGACGAATTCAAGGATTTACCTGGCCTATGTTCAATAGTGGACAGTTAATGGCTTTTATTGTGATAATAATGCTCCGCTTCAAGCCTAAACACAGCCATGCAGCCATAGGTAAATATTTTCCTTATTCCAGGATCTAAATCTTCACATATTGCCACCGGATAGTCGAATTCTACCCGATCAATTGGCGGGAAAAGTCAACGCAGATTTAAACTCGAAACGACGCCATCTGTTGGTGGATGTGAGAAGTGAGCCCGAGTTCAATATGTGTCGGATAGATGGCGCTGTCAACTGTCCCATAGACAACCTGCATGGAGCGCGCTTCGAGCAGCTTTTGGAGCGAATCAGGAATTGTAATAGTGAAGGTTTGATATCTTGTCATAATAATTATAATAAATGTACAAATAGACTTTATTTTTATTACATAATTAAACACTTAAATAGTAATTTAACAGCCCCTAATGTTTGCACAAATGTAATACAAGTGAAGGAAACGCAAAATTAAACAGTACTATTTTTTTTTATATCTTTTTTATTTAGAGGCTTTTGTCCTATAAGGGTATGTCAGCCTTATCGTACCCTAATTTTATAAAATACGTCACATACTTAAAACATTGATACATAAATAGATAATACATTATATCTCAGTAGTCTATTTTCATAAAGGGAATTATTGATACAAAAATATAGTAATTAAAGATTACGCCATTCCGGAATGTGGCTCTGCGAGTATATTTGAAAATAAGCCAATCTCCTGTCTGTTGGGACTATATTTCTGTATCAATACTTGCCTTTGTGTTTTGTATTTCGTACATTCGGATATCATATGGCGAACATCATCCAATGTGTTACAAACAAACAGTACTATTGAAAACGTTCAATATATATTATATAATTTTTAAACTTTATTTTCGGCCCTATAAATGGTCTAATCCTGAAGATTGGTGGTAACCCATTTTTTTTTGATGGGTGAAAATGGTATGGTAAGGGTGGGTAGGGTAGGTACGAAGGGTGATAGATGAGAATGAAAACAGGCCAGTTACCTCATCATGATGAATTCATCAGGAATTAACCGTGATAGTTTCCAGGGGGAACCGCGAGGAGGTGAACCTGGTTGGGTATATTGCTTGCAATGGGATCCTCAGTCTCCATTACTAACAATCCCTTTCCCCCCGGTGACAACCCATTTTGATAGCGATCGCAATTTTTTTTTTTAAATAACCCAAACACTAGTGAGTGATGGTAGGTGAGGATCAAGCAGGTCAGTTGGTGCATCGTGATGACTGCACCTGGGATTCAGTACGATGGTTTACATGGGAGATTGCGTGGAAGTCGACCTTGATATATTGCTAGGAATGGGACATTTTTTTTGATGGGTGAAAATGGTATGGTAATTCCGCCTGCGCTAACGGGATACGCTGGCGGAGCACCAGTGAAGGGTGATCGATGAGAATGAAAACAGGCCAGTTAGCCCATCATGATGAATTCATCTGGAATTAACCATGATAGTTTTCAGGGAGAACCGCGAGGAGGGCGACCTGGTTGGGTATATTGCTAGCAATGGGAGCCTCAGTCTCCATTACTAACAATCCCTTTCCCCCCAGAAATGGGACTGGTAGTAAGCATTATTAACAATCCTTTCCCCACATAAAAAATATCTGGTGGGTGTTTCATTATCTGAAAGTTTAATAACTCTTTACATATTGATTAATGTAGGCGAAGCCATGGGATAAAGCCTGTACATAAACGAAGTATACGTTATCGCCACTAAATGTATAATTTATTTCCAGTGACCTTCATTTGTAGAAGAGGGAACGACTCGCAAATAGTCGCCAAGAAGGTTCTAGAAGCAATAGAAGATGAACACAGAAGTAAGATAACGGACTTGACTGGCGGTCTGCACGCTTGGTCGAAGCACGTGGATCCTAATTTTCCTGTTTATTAATTTAAGTTCTGAGAGATGCTCCTGCCATGGCGATGTAATGACTTTGGCGTTTATATATATATATATATATATATATATATATATATATATATATATATATATATATATATATATATATATATTATTATTAAAGGAAAAATGGTTAAAGAAATAAATTTGACAGCTATGTTTTTTTTTCTGTAACGGACACTAAAAAGGCATCCATACATGATCATTTTAAAATGAACTGTCCTTTTATATAATTTTTGGGCGTTCAATGTTATGATGGGAATTTCCACCATTATGCAAAGAAGGGTTAATTCAATAACTGGTTTAACTTACCTGTAATTAGATCGAAAAAGCTCGACTAGTTTCGGGATCAATTGTGATCCTTAGTGTTGAGCGGCTGTAATCCAAAGACGAATCTGACTGCACGCCTCGACTCACTGAGTGCGAGCTGTAAGCCCTTGCAGCATCGTCACAGATAAGAAAGATGGTTTTGGGAACTCTTTGGGTATGATCTGCTGGTCTCCGTAATAGCGTCATGCGTCAGGCATGTTCGCAGAGACCAGGGTTAATAATTTCTTTGCTGTTTTACGTAAATATAAGTAAAACTAGAGGAAGACTTTGTACAAGTCGTTTGCTTAGGCACCTCTATTCCATTCGTGTTTCTACCGTGAAGCAGTTGTATTTGCATGGCTGTGTTTCGGTTTGAAGGGTGGGATATAGCGTGAATTTACTGGGTACAGAGGAATAACACCTGAGTCCTCGGGAATGGCAACGCATCGGGGATATCATGGGCGAAACAGTATACTTTGTTATGTCCATGGTATTGCTCATGTCTATAGGCGACGGTTACCACTTTCCATGAGCCCATTGTTTTCTCACTGTGATCATTTCTTGTAATTGTTTGTATTTATAATAAGTTTACTATTGTAATTTTATGGAGGAAACAATAAAGAGTATCTATTTATTATTGATAAACATGTTTTATTTCCTTACACTCTTGAACCTAAATGGTTATGTACAGGGCAGTTTCAAAGGAATCTTTCCCCTGGAATTAGCTTCCTGTCAACCAAGGAGCTCATTCCACAGCCTGAGCGTTTGCAACTGAAAATTTCTCTGAAAACGCACTGTACGCGACCATTTAGCTTCAAGCGTCTGAGGATGGATTCCCTGTCGATAGCGAGTAGTGCGATGATAAAAGGTGGCTGTGGGTATTTTTTTTATACCACTGAGGTGACAAACAAGCATGCCGCCCACCTGATGGTAAGCCATTACCGTAGCCTATGAACACCTGCAATATCAAAGGTATTACGCGTGCGTTGCCGACCCTGAAGAAACCTCTTTACCCCTCTTTTGAAGAACCCCATGCTGTAGTCTCTTGGGAAAACCTCGGCAGGGTGCTCATTCCATAACCTGAGTGTTCGTGGGAGGAAACATCTCTGAAACCGCGTTGTACGCGACCATTTAGGCTGTAGGGTACGAGGGTGAACTCCCTGTCGATGGCGAGCCGTACGATGATAGAAAGTGGCCGTGGGCATCATATTGAACAATTCCTCGGAGCACAATCCGTTATACAAGTGGTAGAACACACAAAAGGAGGCAAAGTCTCGCCTTACGCTAAAGGGCACGATACCGCCTGTGAGTTTGGCATCATCAACAATTTTCATAGTCCGTCTTTGAACCGAGTCGAGAGGCAAAACTATGTGTTAAATAATAAAGTAGGAACGCTGCTGCCCATTCCTTGACTATTAAATTACCGTAGTCGCTTCTTACGATACCCACGGGGAAGGAAGGGGTGGCATATTCTATGCCGAAAGTATTTATTTTTATTTTTATTTATTTAACACTTTATTGCACCAACATAACATGATTTGTTAAAACAATTTTCAATACGTATAGTGTAGTACAAAAGGCGGTCTTATTGCTAAGCAATCTCTTCCAGACAACCTTTGGGTGGAAAGAATTAAAGCATAAATAGGTAGGTGGCGCGTTAAGAAAGATAGATTTGTAAATAATAATATCTGTGACAGCATAGTCATATACATATACATACATAAATAAACACATACAACCAAACATATACATATATATACATACACATACACATATAAATATATATACATACATATACATATATACGCATAAATACATACAAATATACCATACTAATACACATATATATAACACACAAAACTGGAAATACGTAGGACTAAGTGATTATAAGGATAGGTAGTGGGCTTTAACTAAGTTTTTAAAAATGGGCAACGATTGAGCGCACCGTATAGAGGTAGGGAGTGAGTTCCACAAACGAACTGCTCGCACGGAAAAGGATTTGGAGTAGAAAGAGGAAGAATGGGTAGGAATTATGAGTTGGAGGTTGTCAGTACTACGTAAAGAATAAGAATTGCTCTCTCCAAGAAACATAAAATGTTCTTTTAAATAATGGGTTGTAACTGGATTAAAGAGAATTGAGTAGTATATGGCGAAGACAACTTATAGATACATTTAAAATTCCTCCTTTTTTTGATATACACCCTATGATCAATACCGGATCATTGCAGGTGTGCTGTCAGCCCTTTAAAAAGGAATATGCTCTTTTCTTGAAGGTTATAATGTCGTATCGGTTCGGAAATACTGCTGCTGGAAGTTGATTCCAAGGCGTGATTGTGCGTGGAAGAAAGTGCCTTGAAAAACGCACGGTGGAGGACCGCCATTCGTCCAGATGGTTGGGATGGAGTTTTTGTCTGTGGCAGGTGTACAGTGGCGAAGTTCAGCAGCGGGTACGAACAATTCCTCAGAACACTTCCGGACTTCAACACAACAGAACTGCTTCGCCAGCGTATCTCGTTAGCGCAGGTGAGGTTACCATACTATTTTCACCCATCTAAAAAAAAAACTTTTTGGAGGTCATCTTAACCTTTTTTTCTGTACGACCGTAAAATTGTACGCTGTTAAATGTACCAGAAAGAGACGTACAAATGTGATTTGCTTGGGCACCTCTGTCCCATTCGTGTTTCTACCGTGAAGCAGTTGTGTTTGCATGGCTGTGTTTCGGTTTGAAGGGTGGGATTTGATAGTGAATTTACAGGGTATAGAGACATAACACCTTAGTCCGGGGGGAAGGGATTGTTAGTAATGCGAACTTTTTTTTTAATGAGTGATAATGGAATGGTAACCCCACCCGCACTATCGGTATACACTGGCGGGACACCAGTGAAGGATAATAGGTGAGGATGAAGCAGGCCAGTTAGCCCATCATGACGAATACAACAAGAATTGTTCCCGATGGTTTCCAGGGGGAACCACGTGGAGGTCGGTCTAATAAGGCATATTGCTAGCAATGGGGCTGGCAAACTTCATTGCTAAGAATCCCTTTCCCCCCAATAATGCGGACTATTGCCACTCTATCAAGTCGACCTCCCCGTGGTCTCCATGGAAATCACCGTGCTGAATTTCGGTGTATTCATCACGATGGGCTAACTGACCTGCCTTTTTAGGGGGAAAGGGATTGTTAGTAATGCTGATTACCAGTCCCATTGGAAATATAGTTTGTTTTATTGTAGTTGGTTGCTAGATATGGCAAAATGTCTTCGTTGATGTAACTAGCTACCATACGTTTTAAATGTCTGTTTTGGAATCCTGCAATGAGGAGGAGGGCGTTGATATTCGCGACACAGTTTTATACTTCTGCGGATATCATCGTTTTTCAATAATATTGTAACCAATGTTTTTGTTCCAAATAAAGATTTATTATTATTATTATATACCGTGTCAGGTCAATCTTCACGTGGTCACTTCTGGAATACGTGCTGAATTCCAGATGGGCGATGGGCTGCCTTTTCATTCTCACCTATAATCTCTCACTGGTGCTCCGCCTACGCTAACGGTATACGCTGGCCATTTTTTTTATCATCTATTAAAAAAATGAAAATGTTGGGACACTTGATACGACACGACGAACTTATGAACATTATAATAGAAGGTAAGAAAGGAGGGGGAGAGGGAGACCGAGACATAGTTACATCAGGCAGATCAAGGAAGGAGTTGGTGTCGTGTCGTATCAAGAGGTGAAGGGACTCGCTGCAAATCGTAGTGAGTGGCAAGAGCTCCACCGACAAGAGCGCAACTCTTAAATAGGATAGATAGATTGAAAAAATGCTGGCAATGAGGCCACTAGTCCCCGTTAGTAACAATCCTTCCCTCTATTGACGTTAGGGTTTACCACTTTCCTAAAGATAATCTTAAATCCTAAGCTTGAATTTTTATACTTATCAATAGCAATCACTTGCATTAATGTTTCAGCTGTCTACTCTACCAGCAAATTGGATTTACAAGTCTTCAACTCCTCGTCAGTACAATTATGAACTTTATCGCTGTTAGAATAAAGCCTAGAGCCAATTTATCGAAAGATTAGGGCAATTTGGGTATGTATCCCAAGCCTTTTTCTTGGAAAACTAATCGGGATTGGCCAATTCCATAAATGCGCGCGCACTACAAAGTTGCATTATCAATTGTTACGACTATTACCTAATACATTGCTGTTTTACAAATGTTACAAGTTTTGTTTTGCCTAAGAAACGAAGTAATGTATATTATGGATTTAGATATTAAATTAAAACCAAAAATACAAGGTTGAAATCACTCCCTCGTGCTGAGAATCATCTTTTGTGTTAGTTTGCTTCGTTTGACGAAAGTCGATGTGTTTTTTTTTATAAAAAAAAAAAAACTTTTTTCTTGTGTGTGTATGAATGCAATTAGTGTTTTTTTTATTGTGCTGCAAAAAACTATATAAAATTTAATAAAATGTACCAACATATAAAAGTGTTCCAATAAATTATATTTTATAATTTTATATTGCAAAAAAAAATTAGATAGAACTAACAAGGCAACTTTAGAACGTATTTCAAATTTAAATTAGTAAAAAAGAATTGTGTATTTTTTTTCTTAACAAATGACGAAGCAATCAAAAGGCGGTGATGTCATACAGCCGTAACCCTTCCTGTGTCATAGATAGTTAATTTGTACAGCCCAAAAATAAAATGGCGAACGTTACGAAAGTTTTAGCAACAATTAAAGCTGTTATAACGAGATTAGTGTTCGCCTGCCACGGCATTATAGCGATATGGCAGGTCACAGAATTCAAGAACAGCTTGGAATATTGGTACTTGGCATCACCTATTTTGTTGCTGATTTTCGAGGGGGTCTTTACTTTGACCATAAAAGAGAACCAGGAGTGGAAATGGTGAGCAGTTTAGTGTTAATATTTTTTTTTTAATTAATTGTTAGGCTAAGGAAACGAGGCACAATACAGAGTGAAATCGAAACCGTTAGCTGTATGTAGAAGTAAGAATACCCATACTGTGGTATAGTTGAATAAAATATATTTATTTTAATAATAATAAATATATTTGGAGGAAACAATAAAGAGTATCTATCTATCTAATATAATAAAATTGTAACCAGAGAATGTCTGTACGTAAAAGATATTTAAGAAAAAAAAATTTGTGACGGGTCTTATAAATATCAATAGATGCTAAAAAAATAATTTTTAGACATTTCGACTACCTGCATGTTTATTTCGGCGTCACGTAAAAATTACTGCACCAAATTGGATGCGATTTTCGCAGTTATATCCCGGAAGTGTCTAAATTAAAATTTTGCGTATGTTTCATCTCGATACGCCATCTAGAATAGTCTATTGCATTGGTTTTTCTACTTCTGAAATCCACGAGTACGAAATAGCGGGCGAAAAAACTAGTATTCTATCTCTTGTTAACACTATTCTTTTCCATCCTTCAACTCCCGATTACCTCAAAATGTGCTTTGAGTTTCATGTCGAGCAATATATCCTCTCAGGTCGACCTCCACGCGGTTCCCCCTGGAAACCATCACGTTTAATTCTTGTCGAATTCATCACGGTGGGCCAACTGAGCTGCATTCATTCTCACCTATCATCTTCTACTGGTGCCTCGTCGGTGTATACCGATAGCGCGGGCGGGATTACCAATCCATTTTCACCCATTAAAAAAAAAACTCTATCCTGACGGGACAGCTGACTGCGCCGTGTCACTATGGAGGCCCAAGACTGCTTGTCGTTTCTTGGCCCGTATTCCTTGGGTGATAACGTTCAGTTTCTACAACAGAACATTATATCTTCGAAGATAGATGGATATATATTTATTCGTGTATATATATAATTTTAGTATGTATGTATATCAATAATTACTAGTACCGCATTCGAGTATTCTGCCACTTCCCTATGGTTGACCGGGAGAGAATGCTTCTAGCATTAAGTCCGCCATGTACACATATTTTTACTAATGAATAAATAAATAAATAAAAATACTAAATAATTCGACCACGAGTACATTCTGTATTATCACCATTCTGTAGTATTGGCAGGTGGATTGGCAACCGCTATCGGTATTCACTGGCGGAGCACCAGCGAGGGATGATAGGTGAAGATGAAAGCAGGTCAGTTAGCCCACCGTGACGGATTCCGCTAGAATTAACCACGATGGTTTCCAGGGAGAACCGTGTGGAGGTTGATCTGAGATGGGTGCATTGCCGGCAATGGGCCAGTTAGACCCCATTACTAACAATCCCTTTCCCCACCTGGCAACCGTAATTAGGCCTTGGTGTTTTAAGAAAGATATTGCTGTCCATCCCTCGACCGCCACGACACTCACGGGAAAGGAAGGGGTGGTCAATTCTATGCCGGGACCACACGGCTAAATATTACAACACTATGTGGAAAAATATTTACTTTCATGAAATTGGGAAAAAATTACGTTGGTAATCCAGGATTTTTTAAATGGATGATGATGGAATGGTAACCCCGCCTGCGTTAACGGTATACACTGGCGGGGCACCAGTGACGGATGATAGGTGAGGATGAAAAGGCAGGTCAATTAGCCCATCGTGATGTATACATCTGGGATTCAGCACGATGTTTTCCAGGCGGCCACGTGGAGGTCGACCTGACAGGGTATATTGCTAGCAATACGACTAAAATGTTTGCTTGGGCACCTCTGATCCCATTCGTGTTTCAACTGTGAAGCAGCTGTATTTGCATGGCTGTGTTTCGTTTTAAAGGGTGGGATATGGCAGTGAATTTACAGGGTACAGAGGAATAACACCTGAGTCCTCAGGAATGGCAACGTATGGGTGGTATCGTGGGCGGAACAGTATACTCTGTTATGTCCATGGTACTGCTCATATCTATAGGCGACGGTTACCGCTTTCCATCAAGTGGGCCGTCAGCTTGTTTGCCATTCTAAGTTGTATAAAAAAAAATCGGCATTATTGACAATTCCTTCCCTCTCAAATTTGACAGTTAACATATTATATATTTATTATATTATATAATAGTAAATTTGTATGTTTGTATATGGGCTGAATACATTAGACAAATGTATATATAATATATACTTTTTTTTTATGGATGAAAATGGTATGGTAACCCCGCCCGCGCTAACGGGATACGCTGGCGGAGCACCAGTGAAGGGTGTTAGACGAGAATGAAAACAGGCCAGTTAGCCCATCATGATGAATTCATCAGGAATTAACCATGATAGTTTCCAGGGGGGACCGCGAGGAGGTCGACCTGGTTGGGTACATTGCTAGCAATGGGATTCTCAGTCTCCATTATTAATAATCCCTTTCCCCCATATAATATATACTATTAAGACCTTTTTTAATACTGTTTTCTGCAAATAAATTATCTGATCTGATTCTAAATAGAAAGACACTAATCACGCGAGTTTAGATTATATAGATAAAGTGCCCCATACAAATGCTTCACGGAAACAGGTCAACTCTTACATAGGTACACGTGTGCGTGAATAGGGTTGCCATAATATATATAGTTACTATCCAGTAAATGGGAGAAATTGTATTGTAAGTTAAAACTTGAAAAGACTATACAAAATTCTTATGAATATATTTGAAAAAACGAGGTAAACAGAGCACAATGATTCGTAATGATGTTGATGATTATTGTGATTGATTATTTTTATTTATATCTGAGAAAATTTTTTAAAATATGTTTTCGTCGACTTGTGTCAATTGAAAATGACCGCCATTTTTAATTAATACATGTGTATAAGTTTTGGAATCAATATGTATATATATGTTCGCGTGGGTGTCATAAGAAGCGACTAAAGGCATTTAATGATTAAGAGATAGGTTTTTTTTATACAATTTAGAATGGCAAACAAGCTGACGGCCCACCTGATGGAAAGTGGTAACCGTCGCCTATAGACATGAGCAGTAACATGGACATAACAGAGTATACTGTTTCGCAGCAGGTAGCAGCGTCCCTCTTAAAACATCACCAAAGTTTAACTGCAGCCGCCAATCCGCCTGCCGAAAGTGCAACTATTGGCAAACCCCTCCAAGGGGGAGGCTTATATATAACTTATTAAAAAAATCGACCTGAACTGGAAAATATTTCACGAAATTACTTGCAAATTTGAAAAAAAAAGCACCATTTCTTTTAGTTTTAAAAAAAATACTCGTATGTGTAAAAATTTAACAAGCCAAAGTGACGACTATCTGAAAAAGTTGTTACTCATTTTTTTTTTATACAACTTAAAATGGCAAACAAGCTGACGGCCCACCTGATGGAAAGTGGTAACCGTCGCTTATAGACATGAGCAGTACCATGGACATAACAGAGTATACTGTTTCGCCCATGACATGCGTTGTCATTCCTGAGGACTCAGGTGTTATTCCTCTGTACCCAGTAAATTCACGCCATATCCCACCCTTCAAACCGAAACACAGCTATGCAAACACAACTGCTTCACGGTTGAAACACGAATAGGACAGAGGTACCTGAGCAATCGACTTTTGACAAAGTCCCCCTATTGACTCGATGCTCTATCTATACAATTTAAGAACACATTACATCAATCTTGATCCTTTCCCGCCAAAAATAGACATGTTTATTTTTTAATTTTCACCCAACATCATGCAAGGGAAACGGCTGATCTTGACCTTATGATGTTTTATCGGGTGTTTAAGTGACATTTACCCGCTTTGTGAAGAGCCACCCATCCGCGTCGGGGACACTTCGTGAGATTTAAATAAACGTTTGTAATATTAGCAAATTCCGTTTCCACTTGTAGTTTTTAACCGACTTCAAATAAAGGAGGTTTTTTATTTGGCTTTATGTTTGTTAACTCTACTTTTATAAATCAATTAGGAAACTTTTTGCCCCGTGCCCCGCCCGTGCCCCGCCTTTTTTTATTTACGCTTTATTGAACCATTTGAAGGATAATGCAAACATATATATATCTTATATATAAAATACTCATGTCGCGGTGTTTGTTACCAAACTCCTCCGAAACGGCTTTATATACCTACCCAATATGCACACAAAATTTCATAAAAATCGTTTTATGAAATTTTGTGTGCATATTGGGTAGGTCTGAGAATCGGCCAACACCTATTTTTCATACTCGTAAGTGATAAGGGTGACCCACCCCAAAATATTTTTTTTTTATTTTTTTGACAATTTTTTTTAATTTTTATTTTATTATGATTTAGCATTGAAAAATACATACAACTTTAAATTTTCATCGTTTTACGATCAACCCCTGTATTTTAATTCGCAATAAGTGGTAAAACAACGTTTACGGGGTCAGCTAGTCTTATATATATGTTTCCATCTGTTGCTTTCCTGCTTTTGGGTAGAGTTTTTTTAACGAATGATAATGGTATGGTAACCCCGTCTGCGCTATCGGTATACACCGGCGAGGCACCAGTGAAGGATGATAGGTGAGGATGAAGCAGGTCAGTTAGCCCATCGTGACGAATTCAACAAGATTTGTTCACGATGATTTACAGGGGGAACCACGTGGAGGTCGACCTGATAAGGTATATTGCTAGCAATGGGGCTGTCAAACTCCATTGCTAACAATCCCTTTCCCCCCTAACTTTTGGGTAGATTTATTTATTTCTTTTTTATTTATTTATTATTATTTTTTTGTTTCTTTATTTATTTTACTGCAAGATGTATTAACATTAGACAAACATTTAACAAAATTATGTTACTAACAAATTGGCCCATTGCAGTCTGTAATAATAAAGACTATTATTATTAGATATATTTTTGCCCATAGCTGAAAGCACGGTTCCCGATTCTGGGTTGGGCACAAGACAATTATGGGTGGGCACGGCCCTCTCCAATCTCTATATAGATTTTTTATGCAATTTAGAATAGCAAATAAGCAGACGGCCCGCCTGATAGTTAACAGTAACCGTTGCCTATAAATACGAACAGTACCATGGACATATGTAAGTATACTGTGTCGCTTTTGATATCCTTCATGCGTTGCCATTCCTATGGACTAACGTCTTATGCCTCTATGTCCTGTAATTTTATAGTCATATCCCAACGTTCAAACTGAAACACAGCCAGGGGGAAAGGGATTGTTAGTAATGGAGACTGAGAATCCCATTGCTAGCAATATACCCAACCAGGTCCACCTCCGCGTGGTTCCCCCTGGAAACTATCATGGTTAATTCCTGATGAATTCATCATGATGGGCTAACTGGCCTGTTTTCATTCTTATCTATCACCCTTCACTGGTGCTCCGCCAGCGTATCCCCTTAGCGCAGGCGGGGTTACCATACTATTTTCAACACAGCCATGCAAACACAACTGCTTCGCGGTAGAAACCCGAATGGGACAGAGGTACCCAAGCAATCGACTTTTGTACAAAGTCTCCCTCTGGTAAATATATATAGAGTGATTTCATATAAATACTTCCCCAAAAACAGGTCAACTTGTATCCATGTGTGCGTAAATCGGGTTACCAGTATATAAAGTTAATAATACGGCCACTTTCTACCATCGCACGGCTCGCCATCGACAGGGAGTTCACCCTTCATACCTTGCAGCCTAAATGGTCGCGTACAACACGGTTTCAGAGATGTCTCCTCCCACGAACACTCAGGTTACAGAATGAGCTCCCTGCCGAGGGTTTCTCAAGAGACTACAGTATGGGCTTCTTCAAATGGGGGGTAAAGAGGTTTCTTCAGGGTCGGCAACGTGCGCGTAATGCCTCTGGTATTGCAGGCGTTCATAGACTACGGTAACCGCTTACCATCAGGTGGGCCGTATGCTTGTTTACCATCTCAGTGGTATAATAATAAAAAAAAATACGAAGTACGTGAGAGAAATTTATATTGTAATTTTAAATTGAACAATAAAAAAGCCACAAAGTTTTTACGCATGTATTTAAAAGGAGATAAACAGTGCATCAGCGTCACCATGTTAGTTAAATGTCTACTGCTCAACATAAGCCAACATTTACCAGAGGGAGACTTTGTACAAAAGTCGATTGCTCGGGTACCTCTGTCCCATTCGGGTTTCTACCGCGAAGCAGCTGTGTTTGCATGGCTGTGTTTCGATTTGAAGGGTGGGATATGGCATGAATTTACTGGGTACGGAGGAATAACATCTGAGTCCTCAAGAATGGCAACGCATGGGGGGTATCATGGGCGATACAGTATACTCTGTTATGTCCACGGTACTGCTCATGTCTATAGGCGACGGTTACCACTTTCCATTTTATTATTTATGAATAAATAAAATAAAATAAACTCACAACTTTTTGTAGTGAAAGAATTGCGTTGTAACACTTGTCACTATTTTTACGTTTTACGTTTTCGATGGAACAGGATATTTTGTATTGATTCACGCGGTCAAAGCCGCGGGGAATAGCTAGTTGTCACATAAATTTGTTTGATTGACACAACATTAGCCCGAATTTGCGATGTTAATGTCTGCATCCGGTGTCGAGCCGGCTCCCCCCCTCCCGCCCCTCCCCCTCCGTACATTATGATGCTGACGGTACGTGTCATATGGACATAGATTCCTAATTGGTAACATAATTACCTAACTGAGATTATATAGATAGTGTCTCCATACAAATGTTTCATGAAAAGCGGGTCAAATTTTTCCTTACAATTTTGCGTGATAAATAGTTATAGAGTGGGAGGAAAGGGTATGGTAATTATCGGTGAAAATGGTATGGTAACCCCGCCTGCGCTAACGGGATACGATGGCGGAGTACTAGTGAAGGGTGATAGATGAGAATGAAAACAGGCCAGTTAACCCATCATGATGAATTCATCAGGAATTAACCATGATAGTTTCCAGGGAGAACCGCGAGGAGGTGGACCTGGTTGGGTAAAGGCTAGCAATAGGATTCTCAGTCTCCATTACTAACAATCCCTTTCCCCCCTAGTATACTCTGTTATGTCCATGGTACTGCACAAGGCTATAGGCTACTATGTACTAATAAATAAATTGCAAGTTTCATAATATTTGTTTGCCCCCAGGTTCTGTCCATCGGTGTTCATCTACCTAGGATTAGTTGTGCCAGCCATCTGGCTGCTAGAGCTTCACAAAGTTGACATCCGTTTGGCAAACAAGAATAGTCTTCAAAATACGTCTTTAGAGGTGAGTTAGCATGTATATTTCGTGCCTCCAGTCAAACTGTTTATAATTACTCCTCTCCATCCAAAGGTTACCTGGTAGAGATCGCTTTTAGCGATAAAATCGCCCATTGTTTTCTTACTGTAATATTTTCTTGTAATAGTTTGTGTTTGTAATAAGTTTCCATCTGGTGGGCCCTCAGCTTGTTTGCCATTCTAAGTTGTATAAAAAAAAAAACAAAATATACTTTATTTCTTGTAAAAAAAGTAAGCAACCCTATCTCAGGATCATGAATGAGATCATGGACAGATCGTAGTGTTACAGATCTTTCTGTCTGAAGAAGTCTGAGCAGTAAGTGCTTTATATTATTCCCAAATTCGTGTATAATATAGTATATATCATATATGTGTAAGTATATTTGTTATTCATATATATTTATTCGTTTATATATGTAATTTTAGTATGTAATTATATCAATAATTACTAGTACCGCATTCGTGTATTCTGACACTTCCCTATGGTTGACTGGGAGAGAATGCTTCTAGCATTAAGCCCGCCATGTACACATATATGTACTAATGAATAAATAAATAAAAATAAAGAAAAGCCCGTTTTTCAATAATAATAATAATGTCTCTATATGTATTAGTGCTAACAATGGGAACTGTCTTCCCCATTGTATATAAGAGATGGGAGTTAACACAATTTACTGTGGTAATTTACCTAATTGAATTATTCGCGGCGTAATACCTCTGGTATTGCAGGCGTTCATAGGCTACGGTAACCACTTACCATCAGGTGGGCCGTATGCTTGTTTGCCACCTCAGTGGTATAAAAAAAATTTACGACCCCGCACCCAAATACGCCTACGGCAACAATCTTTTCTCTCCCCTGTACGTACTGTTTTTTTATGAGTGATAATGGAGTGGTAAACCCCGCCTGTGCTATCGGTATACCCTAGAGGATCACCAGTGAAGGATGATAGGTGATGATGAAAGCAGGTCAGTTAGCACATCGTGACGAATTCCACTAGAATAACCACGATGGTTTCTAAGGAGAACAGCGTGGAACAGAATAGAATAGAGGGCATATTGGAGATCGACCTGATAGGGTGTATTGCTGGCAATGGGAAAGTTAGACTCCATTACTAACAATCCCTTGTAAATACAATTTTCTTTATATCACTGAGGTGGCAAACAAGCATACGGCCCACCTGATGGTAAGTGATCACCTGATGGTAAGGTTATATTCCTTGAGTTCTTTTCAGATTGAAATCGTAATACCTGGGGCGACGAAGATCCCCACAGACATGTGGGTGACTCTCATCGAGCAATTCCTCATGCTGACCCTCATCGTTGGAAGGTGGCTACTGCCGAAGGGAGATCTCACCAGAGACCAGTTGAGCCAACTCTTGCTCGTCTACATTGGTAAGTGTCCATGACTCCCAAGTGCCTTAAATTGACCAAATTTGACTAAGATGGGTCACGTATGAACAGTTTCAACAAATTTGTTTAAACTTTGTCCAGTTTAGTTACTTATATGAAGTTAAGCCAAATTTTGTTTAATTTGGTGAAGTGTGGCCAAGTTTGGTCTAATTTGGCCAAATTTAGACAAGTTTATTTAGTTTGGTTCAAATTTGGACCTTGCGAGGAGCGTATATAAAGCTATTTTAAACAACGAGAGATCACAGTAAGAAGTTACGACTACTGAAATTATTATAACTTCCTATACTACTCCCTTCCCATACTACTCCTTTGCCATACTACTCCCTTCCCATACTACTCCTTTGCCATACTACTCCCTTCCCATACTACTCCTTTCCCATACTACTCCCTTCCCATACTACTCCTTTCCCACTACTCCCTTCCCATATTACTCTCTTCCCATACTACTCCCTTCCCATACTACTACTTTCCCATATTACTCCCTTCCCATACTACTCCCTTCCCATACTACTTCCTTCCCATACTACTTCCCAATGTTTGTTAATATTTTTAGAGCATCTGCTATATATATTGAACAATAAGATTAACTTTGTTTGTTTAATAAAAAACACCGATGTAAATAATTATTTTGATTTAAAAACTAAAAAAAAACTACTGATTCGATTTTCATAATTTTTCTATTTATAGGACAATCTGAAAGAATATACAACCAATATAATATTGGTAGTATATTCTTTCAGATAAAAAAAAAAATTCCCAAATGGGCTTATATATAACAGAGTTATGAGGTGACAAATATAAAAAAAAAATACAATCGAATTGAGAATCATCCATTTTTTGTGAATCAATTGAAAATCGTGATTGATATTCGTTCGCATTGCGACCTCTTTATGAATTACTTTACAAACAGGTACAGCAGCGGACATCATCGAATTCTTCGACTCGTTCAAGGACGAGAAGGTCGCCACCGAGAAGGTGCTGGTACTCCTCACGCTGGCCATCTGGTCGTGGTCCCTCGTGCAGTTCACGGTGGTGCTCACCGCCACCAAATCGAGAAAGTCCAGGGGTGCGGCAAATAGGTCTGAAATGTATGTAAAATTGTTCAGTACACCGCACGCGGGCATAGCACGCTGTTGCACTGATATGTCGCTGTTTTATGGGTGTAGTGCGTTATATGTGGTGTATTAGTGGGTGACATGTTGTATATTAGCGAGAAATGTATTGTACATTGATGAAAGATGTATTGTACATCAGTGAAACACATTTTGTACTTCACTGATGAGAAATATATTGTATATTAGTGAGAAATATGTTATACGTTAGTGAGAGAGATGCTGTACATTAGTGAGTGTGTGGTGTAAATTAATGAGAAATATGTTGTGCATTAGTGATAAATATGTTGTGTATTAGTGAAAGATATGTTGTATATTAGCGAGAGATATATGGTACATTGATGAGAGATGTATTGTACACTAGTGAAATACATTTTGTAAACTTGTGAGAAATATGTTGTGTATTAGTGAAAGATATGCTGTACATTAATGAGAGTGTATTGTTTTGTGAGAAATATGTTGTGCAGTAATGTGAGATATGTTGTGTATTAGTAAAAGATTAGTTGTACATTAGTGTGATGTCAGATTATTGTTAATATAAAGTATATAGACGTATTATGACAGTACGAAGGCAGGATGTGATGTTATGTATTAGGTATTTTGTTGTTTCAGTCTGCTATTTGAGTTTAGTGCTCCTTTTCTATAACTTAACGAGTGAGAAATTATGATGTACATATGATGAGAAGTGGTCTGTTAGTGAGAGATTTTTAATAGTGAGAAATTTATGGAAATATTTCATAAGTAAAATATGTATTGTAAATTAGTCAAAGAGATGAAATAATATCTCTAACTTAACCTAACATTAGGATGCGATATTATGTGGAGCGTTAGTGGGAGAATTGTGATTACAAATTTAGGAAGAAACCTATCAAGACACTCGTACAAATATTAAAGTATGAATGGTTTTATAATACTATTGTGAATCTCTAAAGGGAGATATCTAGAAAAATAAATTAAATCTGAACATGAACTTTAAGTTCAGAACGTTACAGTAGATAATAGCTTGCACGCTCCTTGTTAGATTGACAGCATGTTAAGCAGCATTAGCTCACTTTTATATCATTTTATGGATTGAATCTATTAGCAAAAAAGTCGGTACACGTTTCGCGTAGTTAAGAAATAAAACCCAACAGCGGAGTCAATTCTGAGGCATTATTTCTTTTATCTTTGAGTGATTTTCAGCAAGTGCAATCTTTCTTCAACTTTATTTATTTATTTAATACTTTACTGTACAGAATGATAGTACATAATAATATGTCAGAGGTAAGTAAATGTACAAAGGCGAGCTTAACTCTAAAAGAGTTCTCTTCCAGCAACACCCAAAGTGGAAAGGAGCGTAAATGTCAGCGGGTAGAGCGGTGAACCATTTCAATTGTGCCTTCAACTTCGTGTTCCCAGAAAACTCGATGTGTCTAAAATGTAGAGGGAAGAATTTTATTAAACACTTTCTGGGGATATCCAATTTCTTCGAAGACTCGATATCAAAAATGTTCACCAAAATTAGACAGAAATTGCGCTTTTTTTTTTTATACCACTGAGGTGACAAACAAGCATACGCCCACCTGATGGTAAGCGGTTACCGTAGCCTATGAACGCCTGCAATACCAGAGGTATTACGCGCGCGTTGCTGACCCTGAAGAAACCTCTTTACCCCCCTTTTGAAGAACCCCATGCTGTAGTCTTATTTTGATTGCGGTAATAACTATTGGAAGTCATACTGCATTGAAATTACGGTTTACAATACAGTCTCATCACTTTGGGGGGATATTGATTGTTAGTAATGAAGAGTGAGAATCCCATTGCTAGCAATATACCCAACCAGGTCGACCTCCTCGCAGTTCTCCCTGGAAACTATCACGGTTAATTCCTGATGAATTCATCATGATGGGCTAACTGGCCTGTTTTCATTCTCATCTATCACCCTTCACTGGTGCTCCGCCAGCGTATCCCGTTAGCGCAGGCGGGGTTACCATAAGATTTTCACCCATAAAAAAATACAGTTTCATCATCATCATATCAGCCGTTAACTATCCACTTTTGAACGGGATGGGCTGGCGGAGTACCAGTGAAGGGTGATAGATGAGAATGAAAACAGGCCAGTTAGTTTATTATGAACTCATCAGGAATTAACCGTGATAATTTCCAGGGTGAACCGCGAAGAGGTCGACCTGGTTGTGTATATTGCTAGCAATGGTCTCCCAATATATTGCTAGCAATGGATTTTCAGTACCCATTACTAATAATCCCTTTCCCCCACACAAGGGATTAGAGAAAACGCACTTGTTGAGAATCATCTTTCTGTCTTTTAATTTTTTTTTATTTTTATATTTGGTCGGTCCAAATCATTCTAAGGGTTACTGTAAATTTTAATATAATAGCGTTATAACTCGAGAATTTAATACAAAGGATATTTAATTCTCGATTATTTACCCCATAATAGTTTTGTTGTACTCTCTCTCTCTCTATTCATTTAATAGTCTCCTCTTGTCGGTGCAATTTATTATATATAACATTATCTTCTAGCCAGCTCTATCCCAGGTCATATCTTTGACCTAGTGCTTCTTTTATCTGTCCCATATAGTTTGTTGAACTATAATTAAAATAATCATTTTAAAAATAAATTTAGGGCATGGCGTCCATGGTTTAGTGAAACAATAGCAGTGTTATAAATAGCTGTAGAATGGCACATATTATTTGTTAATGTATATGTATGTAATTATTTATATTTTATGTAAGATAGAGGTATGTCATTAGTTGTACAACATTCACCCTCGAATGTTCTATCGACTGCTTTCAGCTTCTCAAAGGTCGACTGTAAGAGTTTCCTATGTGTATGCCCACTGCATGTTAGATAAATTTTATATCTGTATAATATAGATTAACTCTAACACTACAAATAACAACAACAAAACGTTGACAACCACTACAAAAAAAAAACGGCCGCAGAACATCAACAAACACAATAAAATCATGATACCAATTAAAACAACAACGACAAAACCACAATTACAAAACGATTACAACAACATCAACAAAAGCAACAATCATGTGAAGTAATAAAACAACAACAACAATAAAACGACAACAACAAAGCGATGAAACCCAACAATCATGATAACAATTAAAACAACAACAAAACGATGACTACAAAACAACAACAACAAAATCATCAAAACCAACAACAACAAAACATCAAAATGTAAATACTATTACAAGAAAATTGTCGTAATCAGCGTCTCCGTCCGCAGGAACAGCCGAGCTTGCTGCTGTTCCATTGAAGTGTGCGCCATCATAATGAATATCGCGTTGCAGGACGCGCCGTTCCTTGCGTTTCGATTGCTTATCATATGTCATTACAAGATCGTTAACTACATGAACATATTCTTCACATGTAAAAACACATTGGTAAGTCTGTTTTTATTATGCGTACTCTGGAGAGGCAAGTTGTATTAAATGCCACTTAGACCAATATATATATGTATGGGTACCTCAGTCCAATTCGTGTTTCAACCGTGAAGCAGTTGTGTTTGCATGGCTGTGTTTCGGTTTGAAGGGTGGGATATGGCGTGAATTTACTGGGTACAGAGGAATAACACCTGAGTTCTCGGGAATGGCAACGCATGGAGGGTATTATGGGCGAAACAGTATACTCTGTTATGTCCATAGTACTGCTTATGTCTATAGGCGACGGTTACCACTTTCCATCAGGTGGGCCGTCAGTTTGCTTGCCATTCTAAGTAGTATAAAAAAATCTATGTATTGAGTCCTTCTGTACATTGCTGACCACCCATTGCGATATCGCCCATACCAGTCGGATATCTATATTCAATACAAGCGGGCTCTTCTTTTCGATATTGTATATTGTGTAACCGATAGTTAATATATCTGTTATTGAGCTAATATTGTATCTACAATAAATATATATTCATTGCTATATATTGCCTACGTCTATAGACATGGGGGAGGCTTATGTCCAGCGGTGGACGGATAATGGCTGAAAATGAAAATTGAACCTAAATTGCTTACCTCTATAAGCTACAGTAATGACATCTGTCATTCAATATGTCTTTCCTATCGGGATAAGCAGAACCAAAATAATATATATATATATATATATATATATATATATATATATATATATATATATATATATATATATATATATAGAGAGAGACGCTGCTATTCATCATTCGACCATTAAATTGCCTCTTGCGACACCTAGAGGAAAGGAAGGGGTGGCCCATTCTATGGCGAGACCAGTTTCATAACGTTCATTGTATTTTCAGGTGATATTGTTACAAATATATAGACTATACGTGCTGCATCTGGAGACAGTGGACGAGGGCAACGGAGGCTCAGTGTACAGGAAGAGTCGCAGGCATAAATCTAGCGATAGGAAAGAGAAGAACAAGAAACACCACGACAAGAAGTAAGAAACAAATATACCGTTTCCTCTTTTTTTACAACACAGGGGCCAAACCAGCATGCAGCCCACCTGGTGGTAAGTGACTACCGCCGCCCATGATCACCCACAACACCAACGGCGTTTCAGGTGTGCTGCCGGCCTTTTAAAAAGGGATATGCTCTTTTTTTGAAGGTTATTATGTCGTTTTATTGTACGCACACTGCCCGCTGGTAATTAATGCTCCTCTCCACTCAAGGTTTGCTGGTAGAGAACTCTTACAGAGTCAAGCTCGCCTGTTGTACATCTTTGTTTTATATACATTATATGTATGTAGGTTTTTGTGTACAATAAAATATTAACAAATAAATTGAATACAAATTATAAAAGGGATAATTAAAGATTTCGTTCCATAGAAAAAACTAACTTCAATTGTGACAACGCCCACGTGACACCGCTAGTGTTGCAGGCATCCATAGGCTACAGTGATCGTTTACCATCAGACGGGCTGTATGCTTGTTTGCCACCTTCGTGATACAAAAAACTACTGAACAGATTTTGATAAAATCTCTACGAGATCAATCTGTAAGTATATCCTTTCAGATAAGAAAAAAAAAATTGCCAAATTAGTTTATAAATGTCGGAGTAATGATGGTAACAAATATAAAAAAAAATTAACCGATTTGAAAACCTCTTTTTCTTTGAAATTAATTTCAAAAAGAATCAATCGATATAATTTTTTTTTACATTCGGAAAGCTATTATAACAACCAGTAACATAGGATAAGTATTATTTTAAAAATCCTATCTACCCACGCGAAGCCGGGCCGGATCACTTGTATTGAATATAATAGACATACTTACAGGGTATTGTATAAAAACAAAACAAGCCATTTTTATATTATTATAATAACAGAGTCCAAAAAAACAAGGGACCTGTAAGGTTAATTTTGCACAAGGTCGGTATCAAGGTCACCGGAACAACCTTTTTAGGGTAGTAACAATGCACCTCACTTGAAAAGGGTCAAACAATCGTAACCAAGCTTGTGGGAATAGATTGAGGAACGAGGTTTGTATGGATCAGAGATATACACTTTATTTCGCTTATTCCAAATGATACAATTAAAATATTTGTATGTAAAATGTATGATTGTACATCGATATTTATTATGTGAAACATTCATTCCAAATAGAAATAATCTTTTAACTCTAATCATCCATATAATATAATCATCCACACAGCTAAGGTTTCATGTAGTTTACATGAAAGATTAGCTGTGTGGACGTTTTGTAACATGGTCGCTTAGCTGAGTGGACTTTATGTAATATGAAGGTTTCGTTGTGGGAATATTTTGTAACATGTTCTCTTAGCGGACCTTATGTATATATATATGTATTCGTGTTTCTACCGTGAAGCAGTTGTGTTTCGGTCTGAAGGGTGGGATATGGCGTGAATTTACAGGGTACAGAGGAATAACATCTGAGTCCTTAGGAATGGCAACGCAGGGGGGGTATCATGGGCGAAACAGTATACTCTGTTAAGTCCATGGTACTGCTCATGTCTGTGGACGACGGTTACCACTTTCCATCAGGTGGGCCGTCAGCTTGTTTGTCATTCTAAGTTGTATAAAAAAATCAGGGAGTGCTGACAACAACACTCGTGTTTGGAAGCGAATCGTAAGTATAGCAGAAGTATGAAAATAAAATGAATGCTAAAAAGACAAGAGCTCTGAGACGTATGTGTGGTATTACATTAAAAGATAGAGTATGAAACAGTGTGATTAGAGAGAAATGTGGATTTAAAGACGATGTAGTGACAAAAATTAAAAAAAGAATTTTGCGTTGGTTTGGTCACATGGAGAGGATGTGTGAAAGAAGAATTACGCAATTTATTGAGAAATGAATGAAACTAATGAATCTAAAAATCATTATTTTGTGTTCTAAAAAGTTGCATTCATAATGCCGCCTTATAATAGTTTTTCTTACATATCTTCCATGTACAGACAGCGACCTGTTACTTTCTTATATGTATTGATCGTTATTGAAGCAGTTAACATTTTTGTCACTTCTCTTTTTTCTTTTCATTTAAGAGTTCCCTCTTGTCGGTGCAACTAATTCATGCATCTTCTTCCAGCCAGCTCTATTCCAGGCCATATCCTTGACCTATCTATACGACATGACACCTAGTGTTTCTTTTATCTGTCCCATGTAGTTATTCCTCGGTTTTGTTGCTTAAATTCTTCAAAATTATTATAAAGTTTAATCCTTTCAGGAAACATCATAAGTCGAAGAAACACAAAAATCATGAAATTGCCGAAACGTCAATAGCAATGATCAGTGATCCTAGACGCCATGACAAGGGCGACGGTGGCCGAATCAGGTACGTACGAATGAACGCGCGCACGCACACACACACTCCACACCACACATACACACACAATATGTGTGTGTGTTTGTGTGTGTGTGTGTGTGTGTATTTATACGATTAAATATAATGTAATTAATTATGTATAAATTTACGTTTGTCTTGTTCTTTTTGTTTGTAAATTGTCACAATATTGTACGCCGCTCTACCCGCTGACATTGATGCTTCTCTCCACTTTGGGTGTTGCTGGAGGAGAACTCTATTAAGCTCGCCTTTGTACATTTGATTACCTCTGTCATATTTTTATGTATAACTAGTGTGTACAATAAAGTATTAAATTAAATTAAATGAATGAATGATAACTCTTTATTGCTCCCTTCAAGAATAATACAGATTATAAAGATCAACAAAATTGATACTTATATATAAGAGATATAAGTATTAATTTCGTATAGAAAAGGTGTTTTTAGACTATTTCAGGCAATTTTTTAAAATTTTCTCTCCGTAAGAACCATCCTCGTACTTCGAGGAATATTCTAAAAAAATAATAAGTGAAATCGGTTCGGTTGTTCTCGAGATTTGCGCTTAGCAACACATTTTTATATTCAGCAATACATTTTTATATCATAGATATATATATTGTAAATAACTAACTGTACTATCTAAAAGTTAGTAAAAGTTTTGTTAGAACTTTTTTTTATTTCCTATAAAATTTACTAAATGGCGTTTAATACATTTCGCCATTTCGTCGTGGATATGACGAAGAGCAGTTTTGTGTGGAGAATCAGATATAGTTATAGATAGGTAAGGGATAGGGGTCGCTCCTCACCTTGACACGACTCCAAATCACCTACACTAGGGCTGGCCGATGCTCTGTCGATACAACAATTATTGGAAGAGCCCCATGAAAATAAAAAAAAAATATTATCTATATGATATTTTATATATATTATCTTCCATCTATTATATTTATATAATATAGAATCTAAACTTTGCATAATGGTGGAAATTTCCATAAAAACATTGAATGCCCAAAAATTATATAAAAGACCAAGTACACTTTAAGTTGATCGTGTATGGGTACCTTTTTAATGTCCATTATAAAAAAAAAAAAACATAGGTGTCAAATTTATTTTTTTAATCATTTTTCCTTTAATTTTGAACATGATTTATTTCACCAATAAAAAAAAAATCATGCAAAGAAGGGTTAAAATCTATCTATCTACTCTAAAAAAAAACTAGCTTTTAAACATAATTTGCGCATCTATTTGTTAGAAAAATCACTTTCCCTTTAAACTTAATCTTGCTGGTTACTCTGTTTGAGTCATAAATTACTATTTGCTCTTCTACTACAGTTAATTGTTTTATATAGTAATATTTTATGTATTTATTTATTTAATATATTATGTGTATGTTTATATTAGTCTAATTATATGTTTATATTATATAAATATATCAAGTATTGCTTTATATTTCCTCTATTCAACAATGCACCGCCTACTTATTTCTCTGTTCGCCCAATAGTCGACTGGTAGAGAATATCAGTGTTAAGTCCGCCAAATGTACAGATGTATAGGTGATAATGAAATAGTAAGCCCATCCGCGCTATCGGTATATACCGGCGAGGCACCAGTGACGGATGATAGATGAGGATGAAACAGGTCAGTTAGCTCATCGTGACGAATTCAACGAGAGTTGTCCACGATGGTTTCCAGGGGGAACCACGTGGAGGTTGACCTGATAGGGTATATTGCTAGCAATGGGGCTGTCAAACTCCATTGCTAACAATCCCTTCCCCCCTCCGTTTAAATGGTGGGATATGACAGTAAATTTACAGGGCACAGACGAATAACACCTGAGTCCTCAGGAATGGCGACGCGTGGGGGGTATCATGGGCGAAACAGTATACTCTGTTATGTCGGCGACGGTTACCACTTTCCGTGAGGTGGGCCGTCAGCTTGTTTACCATTCTAAGTTCCATAAAAAAGTAACACTAATATAAACACACACATAATGTCGATAGGTAATTTATCGACACATTCCCGCCACGCGCCGAAGGGCGCGGCTCGCAAATGACTCCGCGCACAAATCGCTGGATGACCCGTGTCTGTCTATGTATCTATATGTATACACATTGTCTGTTTGTATTGTCCGACTTCAAATAGCGATGTTCTAGAAGTTTCCACTAGTATTAACGGCAAGTTTTGTACGTATCAGTTGTTTGTTTGTACTGTTCGGACTACAGTTTATTGTTTGCGATGTAATACTTTCTGGTCCATGGATTATTTCTTTAACCAGGATATATAGAAAACAAAGAGTAAAACCAACCCCAAATCCATACCTGAAAAGATCTTAAGTACAATTAAAATATATTCCAGGGCAATAATCCTGACGAATTCTGATGAGATCAGAGAGCTGGAACTGTCTACGCTTTTCAAGGATCAAGTGTCGACAGAGAACGAGAAGAAAAAGGGGTGAGACGTTTATAATAATTTAAAAGTATGTGTGACAATCTTGGCTGTTTAGCAGTTTTGAGTGTTCCTTTTTCTTTTGTTGATCAAAGGTTCAATTCCTGGTGTAAAATAAACATCTATTTGTACTGATCTGGGCGTTTTCTGTGTATAATATTATAGTATTTAAAAAAAAAAAAGTATTTTAGGTATTTTTGTCAGTTTTGCATACATAGTATAAAAACTGCTTGTTTTGACTTTAGATGGCGTCGTGTAATGTTCAGCGGTGTTTATTATTATTTCAGGACCAAAAAGAAACAAAAGTCGGAATCATCAGAGGAGTCGTTGAATAACGTTCATCATACGACCGACGATTCGGGTATTTGACATCATCGTGTTCGCCGGGACAGCCCCAAACGCAGTCCCAAACATAAAGACAAGTATGAAAGCAAGAGGAAAGATAAGAAGAGCAAGAGGAAAAAGGACAGCACCGAGAGTGATAGTGATAGCTCGAGTTGAACATGGCATTTTGTAAGATGGTTCTTTGTCTAAAAAAATATGGGTTTATAACGGTGCGTAATAGGAGTCAAGTATGGCAGTATAACAGTGCAGATTGGTTCCTTTGTCTGAAAAAAAAAAGTGTTTCCGTAATGGCGAATTGGCGGGTAAGCATGCAAAAATGGAAATTTTGGATTTCGAATGAAGTTTATGTTCACAAATTGCACAAAATAATGATTGTTACGTTATTTATTATTTATTAATAAGGAAGTATATATTTATATAGAAACAACAAATATGTATTATATATAATTATGAAACAAATAAAATTATATATAATTTAAAATTGACACCCATTTAAAAGTATTTTACGCGCCATACGAATGGCCCGTTTACACTTTGATTAGTAGTACAGACAGTGCTTCGTGCTTAGAGTCACAAAAGTGTTTAGTATTTACGATACCTTTTTTTTCTACAGTCTTAGCTGCGATAAGTAATATGGGTTAACAAAACTTTAACCTTTATTAATTTGATTGACATTCTTCTAGAATTTAGACATTGGTATTCATACGTGTCTAAAGTAAGGGACGAATCCTTATTACAAGCTCTAAAGGTACGGAAATGATTATTAGAAAAAGAACAAAGTTAAGACCTCTTTCAATAAAGATCAATAAAGGTGTTGATTCACGGATTTCACTACGCTAAATATTTTACTAGTCAAAGTGTTCATCATATTACTGTTCAAGTAGGTCATGAGCTAATTGTTTGGTAAGTGGATTTTGGATTAAAAAAGAAACTATTTTTGTGATTGTAAAAACGGATATATATTTTACTATTTAGTACTTATTCGTATATGTTTTAATACAATATGTATCTATGAAAAATATCACTACTCATTATCAAGCAATTAATTAAATCATATAATTTTTGAATTCCTATAGGATAAAGAACTAGTAAAAGCGTTTTTAAAATACAAAAATATGTATTACAACGATTTAACAATATAGCTCTCGATAATTTTTAGTTTAAAAGCAAAATAACGTGTTTAATGAATTGTAATATTTAAGCACAGAGCAATAAATAGTTATATATTATATATAATATTATTAGAAAAACTATATATATCGTAAATAGAGAAATATTATATATTTTTATCAGTGCCTTCTTGGAATTGTGCCTTTTGTTAATGAATTAATAAAAATTATAAATTAAATTATCTATTATAAATATGGATGGTAATTTTTATAATATATATATATATATATATATATATATATTTATTGTTAATTTTAAGAGCATTTATGAGAAATATATAAAATTAAGGCACGCACAATTATTTATTAATCAATAATGTTTCCTAATACTAAAATAAATACATAATCAATATTTTAATATGTTCAGTAGATTTATATTAAAATTTGAAAACTGACAGTGTAGTTTTTTTTTTTTATTTTATCTAACCTTATATTTACTTTTCAGCACCGAATTAAAAGTCTCAAATTTTATATTACGGTATATTTGTATATGTAGAATTTTTACTGTACTGCACGAGAACTTTCCTAAAAACTTGACCAATCTAAACCTGACATTTCTTAATATGATGGTACCAATTTTAAAGTCATATCAACGTTTCTAAGTATTTATTTAAATAAAATGTATTTGATGTTAGTTTTTAACAATATGTGTAGAATAATATATTAGGAGATAAATATATAAGTCAAAATAATCTTACGAATAAAATAAGTTACAATAAATTAGTAATTACATTTGACTAAGATGAAATGTCAACATTCCCGCCAAAATCAATTTCAGCGCCATATTCGAGGTACAGAGAGCGCCAAAAGTACGCTCTGTCTGGTGTTAAGGGTGCGACGTACTGAGGTTCCAAACTTATGGCCAGATGGTGTGGACACGGAAGCCATTCGCCATTACCCCGTTCAGGGGTTGGAGTACTGAAAAGGTATAAAAACAAATACAGATTTATATTATATGTTTATAATAGGAAATCACTTAAAATGGGAATAACACCTGAGTCCTCAGAAATGGCAACGCATGGGGGGTATAATGGGCGAAACAGTATACTCTGTTTTGTCCATGGTACTGCTCATGTCTATAGGCGACGGTTACTACTTTCCATCAGGTGAGCCGTCAGCTTGTTTGACATTCTAAGTTGTATAAAAAAAATTGTTATATACCTGGTCGTTTTGTTGCCTATAGACATGTGAAAACTACGCTTATACTACGTCATCCATGTGTTGCCAGTCCTAAAAACTATGATGCTATCTGACCGAGGTATCTCTTGAATTTTCTCTCAAAACGCTTGTTGTTTTTCGATTTCTTTAACTAGATAAAACCTCAACAAAAAGTTAAAAAGTCTCTACTACAATAAAGGGTCTTATAAATAGAATGTTGCATGATTTCTTTACATTTTGTAATAATCTCGTAGCAACCCTAGTGGTTGTAGGCATATTGTGGCTTTTGCCCGCTATTTTGTACATGTCTATATCAGAAGTTCGAAAAGCAATGAAGTAGTTCACTTCTAAATGGTTTATCAATATAAAATATACACAGTTATAAAGATCGCATGCAATTTGGTGCAGTAGTTTTTTTGTTATCTCGGTATAAATATACTGACAGACAAACAGATATAATTTCTACAAATAATTGTTTTGGGCTACTTTTTTTAAAGACCCCTCATTTAATTTTTCTTAATTATCTCCCATGGCGCAGTGAATGACGACCCCCCACTAGATAGAGTGACGACCTGAAATGCATTGCAGGAAGTCAGTGGATGCAGGTGGCTCAGGACCGTTCTTGATGGTAGTCTATGGGGGAGGCTTATGTCCAGCAGTGGACGGATAATGGCTGACATGTTGATGATGATGTTGATCTCCCATGTACATGGGAGTCATCGAGTTACAATTTTATTAGTAAGATGCGTTGCGCTAAAAAATTTTACTGATTCATTTAAAAAAAAAAACTTACCCATATTTCGCAAAATTAGTCCACATCATCGTCATGAAAGTAACCATTCTGGCGTCATTCTCGTCCATAGGCAACGGCAGCCTCTCCAATTCGAACACGTAGAACAATTCGTCTTGATTTGTTGTCACCAACAAACTGCTATTTGTTAACATTCTACCAATGTTTCTACTACCAGTGTAGTTGAATATAAATTCGAACAATGGCAACCCAGAATTATTTGCGTACATTTCAGTGAGTAAGGACATTGGGCCCACATAATTAAAGTCTGTGTTAAAATTAATAATACCTCCAATTATAGTTTCTTCCGAACTTGTATCTGAGAAGTAAGTTTCCTGCAGCGTCGTTCTAAATTCTTCTATATCCTCACTTGGAACTGCAAAACTTCTCTGATCCAAAACAGAATAATCCTCGTGCTTTAATCTATCTATCTGACTTGTTATCGTATTGTAATCTAAAGTGCTTGTTAAACCTTCCACTGTATTTAGACCAAAGATAGCTGGTACAGGATTGAATTTCTTGTTAGCTAGAATATTGTATGGCGTATCAGTCAGGAATGCTTCTTCTTCATCGAAAATGTTTTCTACTGTTGGCGCAAAAACGTTTTTCGCGTGCATCTGCTTCGATATAGCTTCTTCTACGACGTTTATTGCAGTTTCTGAGTAGATTTTCAAAAGTTTATCAGGATCAAGAGTTTTCACGCCCAAAGATTTCGCCACTTGACTGGCTGTTTTCAAAGGGTTGGGGTCGAAGGATTTGGGACTAAACAACGCGCCGCTTTCCGAAATGATTCTGTGGAATAAACCTTTCGTGGAGTCAGATAGAGTGAGATAAACTGCTGCTGTACCACCGCTGCCTTGTCCTAAAACTGTTACATTATCAGGATCCCCATTAAATCCTCTTATGTTCTCCTTAATCCACCTTAGAGCTGCTCTTATATCCTTCAACCCGGCATTACCAGGTGCATCTACTGTACCCAGATTTAAGAAACCATACGCGTTTAGTCTATAGTTGACGGTGACCAAGACTACGCCATGGCTGACTAAATACTGAGGTCCATAAAAGCTTGGTGAACCAGATCCAACGCCGAAATCTCCTCCATGGAGGAAAACGATTACAGGTAATGTGAAGTTGACGGTGCTGCTTGGAGTGTAGATGTTGAGGACCAAACAGTCTTCGTTGTCGCTGGGCGCCGCAAGAGGATCATGGCAAGGAAATTGGGGGCACAGCACTGCTCGATTGTCAGCTTTATAAATTTCGTCGAATGTTGGGGGTTCTTCTGGAGCCTGAGAAAATGTATGGTATTTTTTTATACAAATGAGCTTACGCCTTAACTAATGGAAAATGGCAACAGTTGCCCATATAAGTTTTTTTAATGGGTGTTAATGAAATGATCTCGTCATCTGTGCTAACGGTATTATGCTGGCGGGGGACCAATGAGGGATGATAGATCCATAATGCAATGAAAATGGGATTGTAGTCCCCCCGACGCTATCGATATATATCGATAATAGCCCATGTTATTTGTTGATAATGTAGCTTTTAGTAGATGGGAGAGTTTGAAAACAAATTGAGTTTAGTAGTTTATCGAATACAAACAAACACACAAACAACAAAACACACATACAAAGTAAAATGTAATGAAATATTTCCTTTTTATCATGTTAGTGCAGATTATAACGAGTAGTGATATCACAAAATAAATAAATAATATATTACTATAGCAAAATAAATATGATGATTTGTATTGTTCATCTGTACGTTATGGGCCCAGCATAGTAATGATACGTTAGATATTTAATAGTGCAAAGTATTAACTTACCCGGAATTTCACTGGTATCCCATATCTGATCCCCAAATACTCATAGTATAGTTCGTTAACCGCCAAACTGCCCTCAACTCTCCCTTGCTTAGTGGCCACTATCTTTGTTTTGTCAAGCGTGTAAACAGCGCCTAAAATGGCGGCAAAAATTAAAGCTGTATAAACGTACATTCCTTTGCTTCCAAACTTAAAACTATGCTTTTGTTTTTTATTCCTTGATGTTTTATATGAAAACAATTGGGATCGGATTGCCAATTTAATATGAACTTTATCCGTTCGGAAATAAAGTCTGTTCTAATATGTTATGTTGCATTACGTGATCGCTGAATAAGATTTATATCAATTATTCATTAATCAAGCAACTTACGTGTTTATACATTGTGATGATAAGGATGAAAATGCAACAGTTGCATAATAAATAACGATTATCGTGATTTGCAAACATTTTCAATCGATTTATTGAATAATAATGCACTTGATTAGATTAGAAGTGAGTAATTCATATTTATTATGTAATTTTTTTTATCGTTTTTTTTAAATTCATTATTTACGTGTAAGACTCTATACTAATACTTGTTGTAGTTAAATAAAAGTAATTAAAAATGTATTTTACGAAAAAAAAAAAAACAGAAATAAGCGATTTCAATTTTGGCAATTGTTGTTATTTTGATACCAATCTGTAAGTATATCCTTTTAGTTTTTTTTTTATGGGTGAAAATGGTATGGTAACCCCGCCTGCGCTAACGGGATACGCTGGCGGAGCACCAGTGAAGGGTAATAGGTGAGAATGAAAACAGGCCAGTTAGCCCATCATGATGAATTCATCAGGAATTAACCATGATAGTTTCCAGGGAGAATCGCGAGGAGGTCGACCTGGTTGGGTATATTCCTAGCAATGGGATTCTCAGTGTCCATTACTAACAATCCCTTTCCCCCCATATCCTTACAATTAAAAAATAATTTTTCAAATCGGTTTACAACTGACGGAGTTATAAGTTGACATACATCTATTTATATGTATTTACTTATATATATATTTTTTTTTATTTATTTATATCTATCGGTCTTTTCAATTGTAAAGACATTTTATTTATTTATTTTTTACTATAACATTTAAGTCGATCGGTACACATGTATGACTGTAACTACTAATGAACTGTCAGTTTTCTCATATTGGGTTCGCTGGAAGAGATCTCTATTGGAGATAAGCTCGCCTCTGTGCACTATTATGTTTGTTTTTACATTGCAATAACCTTTTGTGTACAATAAAGAATAAATAAAAAATAAAAAACGTACCACCGAATTGTGAAGCTTCTTTTTTTAAAGTCAATTTATAATCTTTCAACCAATTCTAAATATGTAGTACTGCATTTGGTAAATATAATTTCATCATTTGTATATAGGAAAGAGAAGAATTCATGCGCCACTTTAACTTAAATAAATTGAATGTTGGTCTTATTCAAACTATGTTAGCTGAACTTAAACCAGAAATTTTTGAACATCTGTGTAAATTATTGATGCCCATTAATTCTTCTCTTTCCGCGTCTAGGGAAGGTAGATAAAGTTTTGTTGGAGAAATCAGTTCAGGGTACAATAGGACTGATATACCTGAAGAAGGTAAAAGCCCTTAAAATATTAAAAAAAAAATCATTTGTATATGCATTAAACATTTCCGAACGCAATATCCTTCTACCCTCCTCACCTATCCATATTCCCTATCAAATCTGGGATCACATTGGGGGGTAGATGGACAAAATCAGTCTATAATCCAACTGCGCGTCGAGCTGGTCAAGTTCCGCCAAGATCACGAAAAATCTCCGCGAGTTGCGAATTATTCAATCAGCCGCGATCTCCGCGCAACATACAGTGGTACTTAAGCAAATCAACAAAAGTGTTGGACACTTTGAAGTGAGAACGTGAACGCGTACAAAAGACCCACACGCGGGGACTAAGTGAACCAGGTTTGTCCTTTACCCTTCTTTTTATCCAACAGCATTATTGCTAATTATAAAAGCACAGGCGTAAAAACTTAGAATTAAATACTAATACGTTTGAATGGGGGGGGGGGGGGGGAGAAGGGATTGTTAGTAATGCGGATTATCAGTCCCATTGCTAACAATATACCCTTACAGGTCTACCTCCCCGTGGTCCCCCCTGGAAACCATCGTGCTGAATTCTGAGTGTATTTATCACGATGGGCTAACTGGCCTGTCTTTTCATCCTCACCTATCATTCCTCACTGGTGCCCCGTCAGCGTATACCGTTAGCGCAGGCGGGGTTACCATTTCATTATCATTCATAAAAAAAAATACGTTTGAATTAGAACACTTAAATATAAAATTAAAATTAGAATTCTATTCTTTTTTTTTTGGTAAAGGATGATTATGAAATGGCAACCCCGCCCGCGCTATCGGTATACACCAGCGGGGTACCAGTGAAGGATGATTGATGGGGATGAAGCAGGTCAGTTAGCCCATCGTCATGAATTCAACATGAATTGTTCACGATGGTTTCCAGAGGAAACCACATGGAGGTCGATAGGGCATATTGCAAGGCTGTCAAACGCCATTGCTAACAATCCCTTTCCCCACAAAATTCTATATTAATGGGTACCTCTGTCCCATTCGTGTTTCTACCGTGAAGCAGTTGTGTTTGCATGGCTGTGTTTCGGTTTGAAGGGTGGGACATGGCGTGAATTTACTGGGTACAGAGGAATAACACCTGAGTCCTTAGGAATGGCAACGCATGTGGGGTATCATGGGCGAAACAGTATACTTTGTTATGTCCATGGTACTGCTCATGTCTATAGGCGACGGTTACCACTTTCTATCAGGTGGGCCGTCAGTTTTTTTGCCATTCTAAGTTGTATAAAAAAAAAGCATGTGAGGAAAAGCAAGCACGTCAGTCGGCCTATCGTGGAGAATTCGACAAGAATTAACCACCATGGTTTTCAGAGGGACCTGCGTGGTGGTCGACCTGATAGGGTATATTACTAGCTATAAGGGTTTTTCAAAATACATTGATAATAATCTTTTATATTAGTACGATATAAGTAATAGTACTAAAGCTTATTATAGCTTATTTCTTTCAGTGAAGTTAAATTTTTAGCGGTAGAAATACGAGTGGGACAGAGATACCCATGCAGATAACTTTATACATTATAAAGAGTTTTAATTGAAAGAATGTTGACATATTTAACCTTTAAAAGCCTGATTTTTTAAATCAAATTAAAAATATATAAGTGTACTCTTTACTATGTTTACTAATGGGGAAAAATAGCAAAAAAAAAATCAAAACGATATTTTTATATATTTATTTAAAAAAAAACATTTGGTAACATGTAAACAGCTAAATATTAAAATTAAATCGATTGTAGGCGCCCAATGCGATTTATAAACCCGGTATCAAATTTGAAACTTCAGAGGGTTAAAACTGTATACGGTATTTCTAATAATATATAAAAAAAAAAAAATTAAGAAATAAAAAGTTGAAACGACAAGAAAATTTATTGACATTGACTTTTGTCATGTCAAATTTCATTTGACAGCTACAAAAACAATCACTTGTTCCGTTAGGTTATGACGTTATACATAAATTGTAATTTATATTTATAGAAAAATCACTTTGTATTTGTACGTGAATTTACAATTAGTGAACTGAAATTGATATATGTGTTCTAGTGTAACAATTGAATAACATATCACGTTCAATAACATACAGTTAAATTGTTAATCTCATTTTGCCTACGTGTTTGGTGATACGTTCAAAAATTAATAACAAACTGCATAAGGTTATGTTTTATTGTCTTATATACAAGTGAAATCCGGCTCGATTATGAATAAGAAACCTATCAGAACTGGTCCCAAGATAAGGATAACGCGACCAGCGAACCGAACGAGGAAAATCGACGAGAGTGTCGTCCCGTCCCCCAAAGTTATCGACGAGCGCAGCTATATTTACACATGTCAGTATTGTGGCCTAAAATTTACGCAGAACAGTCATTTCTTCCGCCACATGACCTCGAACCACGAGACTCAGCAACGCCAAGCGACATACGAGTGTAACGATTGTCAACTTATTTTCAACAAAAAATCCAAGTTGGATGTACATTGCAAGACGCAGCACCAGATTAAGAGCAAGTCCAAATGCGAGATGTGCTCCATAACGTTCAAATCGCGCTATTGTTTACGGCGACATTTAAAAATAAAACAATTGATGCAGGAGAACTCGTGTTTGAAATGCCAAAAGAAGTTTTTGTGCAAAGAGCAGTTGGCTAAACATATACAGAACAAGCACACGTTTAAAAACGTTATATTCCAATGCGACCTTTGTTTGTTGAAATTCAAGGTCAAAGGGTCATTGTTGAGTCATTTAAATAGAATACATAAGAGGTTATGATAATATCAGATTGTTTAGTTATAGCATTAAATATACTAATAACCTAGTAAACATGCTTTATTAACTATTTTTAAGCTAATATCTCGAATATTTTAAACTCGATAATATTTTTATTTTTCTCTCAAAAAATGGAATCTGCATGGTTTTCACCAGGTAATATAACCTGATTATTAATACCATAACTTTGTATCAAACTTTTTTAAAGTAATAACTTGTACTTGCTTTTAATACCTCAATTTATTTGTAGCTAGCCCTATATTTTTTATAATGAATGATAATGAAACGGTAACCCCGCCTGCTCTATCCTTATACACTGGCGGGGCACCAGTAAGCAATGATAAATGAGGATGCAAGTCAAGGCAGTTAGCCCATCGTGACGAATTCAACGATAAATTAGTCATGATAGTTTTCAGGGGAACCACATGGAGGTCGATCTGATACCCTATCAGATATTGATAGTAATGGGGTCTAACCTCCCCATTACTAACAATCCCTTCCCCCCCTAAGCCCCATAGGTTATGTGGTAGAAAAACTTTAAGTTCGCATTAAAAAGTGTGTTTTGAAATTTATACTCAATAATTGAATTTATTTTAATTTAGCACAATAATATTTTACTGTAGCTGGTAACATAAATGGGGGCTCAATAAAGCTAGGGCATCACTCTCCATGATGTCTTGTCATCCGTATCTACGCCACTGATCACATATTGCTATGGATTTAATAGTAACTGTGCTGGGGTATTGATGGTCCTCTGTTTAAAGGCTAAAGTAGTCAGGGCTAGCAGGCACAGCATGTCTTTCTTTTATGTGTTACTGCATATTTCTTATTGAATGCAATTTGTGCGAACCCTGCCACACCATGTATATGGCCTGAAGGGTTCTTCCCATAAGGTGGCTTATGGCAAGGTGTCAGTTCTACCTATTATATCTATTTTTGTTTTTAACTCTATTTTTAACATTTAGTATTACTTTTTATATTTGTTATAGGCGGAGATATTTATTTGCTAAAATAATTAATTTATTAGTTTCTTATACTTTTTTTTTCTCTATTTTTTAGCATAATTGATTTTATACTCGTAAGTTTTTATAAGAATTAAATTGTACATACATATGTTTAAAAACTTTTCAATGAAATTAAAACTGCATTGACAGATGTTTCTGTTTTGATGAGTTTGTTAGTTTTGGGGATTATTTGTAATTCAAAAGAGGTTTCAATTTAATTAATATAGTAATGTTACAATTAAAAAAAAAAGTTAATAATAGTAAAAAATAAAATGTTTGATTATGGATTTGTAAATTTTAGGAATTGCCTTAGTAAGTTACCATGTATTATGTAATAGAAACACCAAGTTTACATGGAAGTTTTTACCAAATTTTTGTATGGTACAGTAAATGCTCTATATAAGCAACTCATTTGAGCCAATTTAAATTAAAAAGTTTCTTATTGGGAAAAGTTGCTTATAGGGGAAAAAGGAGTATAAAATACCTATCTATCTATCTATCCTATTTAAGAGCTGCGCTCTTGTCGGTGGAGCTCTTGCCACTCACTACGATTTGCAGCGAGTCTCTTCACCTCTTGATACGACACGACACCAACTCCTTCCGTGATCTGCCTGATGTAACTATGCCTTGATCTCCCTCTTCCTCTCCTTCCTTCTATCTTACCTTCTGTTATAATGTTCATAAGTTCGTCGCGTCGTAACAAGTGTCTTAACATTTTTTCCCTTCTGTTCTCAATAGTTCTAATAATTTGTCTCTTTTCCTTAACTCTAAGCAGGACCTTCTCATTACTAATTCGATCCCTCCAGCTAATTTTCTCTATCCTTCTCCAGCACCACATTTCAAAAGCTCTAAGTTTATCCATTTCCTTCTGACTTAATGTCCATGTCTCACATCCATTCAAAGCAATACTCCAGACATAGGTTTTGATAAGCCGCTTTCTAAAATCTTTTGTTATGTTAACCTGTAAAAGGTGTTTTTTGTTATTGAAGGCTTTGGCCATAGCTATTCTCCTAATTACATCCGGAGTATAAAATACCATCTGGAAAATATTTTTACCTATTTCCTTTACTAACAAAGCTGAGTAGATGAAATAAAATATAAAGAATGTTGCTTATATAGAGTGTACACTGTACTTAAAAAATTGTATAAACTAAAATGTTAAATAAGTCTGTAACAATTATTAATATAAATAAGTTTATAAAAAAGGTGTCAAATCATAATTATATACAATTTATAATCCTATAACTTATATACATATTATTTATCAGGTACAGAGGAATAACACCTGAGTCCTCAGGAATGGCAACACATGGGGGGTGTCAAGGGCGAAACAGTATACTCTGTTATACCCATGATACTGCTCATGTTTATGTGCGACGGTCACCATTTTCCATCAGGTTGGCCGTCAGCTTGTTTGCCATTTAATGTTTTTTTTATACAACTTAGAATGGGAAACAAGCTGACGGCCCACCTGATGGAAAGTGGTAACCGTCGCCTATAGACATGAACAGTACCATGGACATAACAGAGTATACTGTTTAAGTTGCATAAAAAATTAATAATGTACACTAAATTTCTTCTATCCATGGATCGATATATAGGTAAATTAATATTTTATATTATTTTTAAAAAGATATCAAAAAACCTTGCATTATATTTTTTTAACTTACACAGGTATATCAATTTTTTTTTAAATAACATATAGCATTTAACATAGTTCACCGGAACGATGACAATTGTTCTCCGAAACACGGAGCAAGTAAGCAAAAATGAGTATTTTTAAATAATCCAAGCTTATATTAATCATTGCTAATGTATTTCTACAGGTGAAAAGTTTTTTTTTTTTAAATCGGTTGTATTGTTTTTTTTTAGTATATCCATTATAAACAAATATTTAGAAAATAAAATTATTACACTCTAAAATATTATATGCTTTAGTTGTCCTGTTTTCACCCATAAACATTTTTTTTTACTTTTTCTTTAGTTTTCTTTCAGCTTCTCAAAGGTTGACTGTTTGATAACCCTCATTGGGATATCTTCAAGCATTGTATATTAAATCTTTTATTTTATCCAATGTAAATTATGTACAATAAAGATTTTACAATACAATACAATATACTGGAATACATGTTTACCTATTGTAAATGAATTAAAAAAAAATTGGCTCACTAATAAAAAATCCATTCATATCTTTTGTTCCAAACTTCATATTATTAATATAAAATACTTTAAGCTTTGTTTCAATATGTGTCTACGCTTTTAAAATGTAAACGAGGCAGACAAAACATTATTCGAAAGGGCATAACGCGATAAAAAATGTTGCAGGTAAATAGTACCTACATACCTGCTTCTTTATTGCCGACGTTTCGACGTGGATTGTACCACGTCGTGATCACGATAGGAGCACGCCTGCAAAATTTCTCATCGCCTTAAGTCCTGATAGTGTATTTAAAATATGTGTTAACAACGTGAAAATTTAAAATCTATTATGATTTATAAGCTTACAAATCCATATTTAAAGATTTGAAATCATAACGTAATTTGTTTAACAAAGAAATGTTATAAAAAATCTTCGGTAACTAAAAAAAAGAATGTATCTCACTAAGTATTTATTTGTTAAAATAACATGCACAATTATTTAGTAAAAATTATAAATATTGGTGTATTTAAGCCTTAAAAAGGACGCATATGAACTCTCAGACTTGTCTTTGCGAAGCTTTGCTCGCATTTCGAGGTGGGCACTAGTATCCAGAGTGGACACAGCCCACTCGGGCCCTCCTCTAACGCCTGTTATTAATAGGTGATAATGAAATGGTCATCCCGTCCGCGCAATCGGTATACGCTGGCGGGGCACCAGTGAAGGATGATAGGTGACGATGAAAGCAGGTCAGTTAGCCCATCGTGACGAATTGCTCTAGAATTCACCACGATGGTTACCAGGGGAACCACGTGGACGTCGACCTGATAGGATGTATTGCTAGCAATGGGGCACTTTGACCCCATTACTAACAATCCCCCCCCTACAAAGTATATTACCCTACCATTAGTCGTAAGTACTTAATTTAAAATTAACTATTATGTTACATAAGTATTGGCACATGTAAGATTAAATAGGATGCAAGGGATAGGTTGGCCAAAACGAAAGCAGCTGATTCACATAGTGTGAATTAAATGGCAGATTATTTTTCCACCGGAAATGCTGGTGCACCACAGCCATATAAGTAACGATTCTTAGTTTTGACGCCGTGCAATGTATTTAAAATATTACAATACACACGACGCTGTCAATGGCGCTTCTTCGTAGGTAGTTTTAGTACGCTCGTGTCGTTGACTTTACACAGTTGATACCGCGCGTCGCCGTACAATTTTAAAACGAATTTTACATTGCTGTTTTTTGGTATTTCATAGTATTTTTTACTATAAAATATTATTATTTCTTTATATTCCTACATAACATCAAAGATTACATGATATTAAATTAAAAAAAGAAAACAAAATTTGGAATTGTCTGGAAAGAATTTTTACTGATTTTCAGTTCAGAATAATAGTTAAAATTCACTGTTTCAGTTTTCACCAATCTGTCCCTTACACCCTGTGTTCCAGGGGAGGCTTGGCCCCTTAAAAACGACCTATAAATACTCTTAGACATGTTTTTGTGTTTAGCTGAGAGCTCTGCTCGAATACTGGGGTGGGCACAGCTCATCCGGCCTTTAATGCCTATGGTGAGACCAGCTCTATGGACACCATAAGCTTTATTGGATAAATTCGATTATGGCGAGAGAAAGGTTTTTATGGTATGATAATGGAAAGGTAATTCTGCCTGAAGCTGAATTTATTTAATATAATTTAATAGCAGAAGAACGGTATTTGCTTGCGAGGTACCAGGAAAGCATGATAGGTGAGGATGAAGTCAAGCCAGTTGGCACATCGTGACGTATTCACCAGAAATTGACTGTAACGTGACTTGTAACGATTGTCTATAAGAGATAGTCATTAGTCCTTTTATAATAGAATTTTACAAGAATTAATCACGGTGGTTTCCAGGGGGCATCGCGTGGTGGTCGACCTGACAGGGTATATTATTAGCTATGGGGTCGCTAGTTCCTATTACAAACAATTCCCCCTTTCAAACCCCGCTAAAAAGGTTAATAAACCGACTTAATTAAATGGAAGTTTTTAATAGAACAGTTTAGTTTACTATAGGTATAAAAACAGGTATAATACCGGTAAATCATTTTGATAAACCGAATGTCGATACTCCAATACCGGTATTTTAATGTAAAACTATCGGTAAGCAGAAACGATCTTTTAAAGTTGTCGCTCCGCCCGTGTGGCAAGCTTAGCCTTTAGGGGTTACCATTCCACATTCATCCCACAAAAAATTAGGTAAGCACCTAAGTAATATTAAATTAAATGTGTTCAATTAATGCATCTGTATTGCTTTAGAAGAGAGAAAATATAAAAACGTTCGTATAAAATGTATTTTTATTTATATTTAACCATTTGTCAACCACACCTGAGTCCTCAGGAATGGCAACGCGTGGGCGGTATCATGGGCGAAACAGTATACTCTGTTATGTCCACGGTATTGTTCGTGTCTATAGGCGACGGTTACCACTTTCCATCAGGTGGACCGTCTGTTTTTTTTTTTTGATGAGTGAAAATGGTATGATAACCTCGCCTGCGCTAACGGGATACGCTGGCGGAGCAGCAGTGGAGGGTGATAGATAAGAATTAAACAGGCCAGTTAGCCCATCATGATGAATTCATCAGGAATTAACCATGATAGTTACCAGGGGGAACCGCGAGGAGGTCGACCTGGTTGGGTATATTGCTAGCAATGGGATTCTCAGTCTCCATTACTAACAATCCCTTTCCCCCTGGACCGTCTGTTTGCCATTCTAAGTTGCATCAAAAAAAAGCAACAGCTGTTTCTTGGCCGTTCTCAGCTGAAATTGTATTCATAAGGTTTGAAAGATTGTGTCTTACAAAATAAAACCGATTGCATCTATGACAAGAACCAGTTAATTAGACTTCAAAACTTAATTACCGAATCGATTAATTAGTAATTATTGTTATAATTAATATGTCAAATACTTATTGCATTGTGGAATATTTTTAAAGGCCATCAGCTTGTTTACCATTTTAAGTTGCATAAAAAAAAAAACAAAACCAGTTGGGAAACCAATGAAATTGTTGTATTGAAAGGAAATCGAGGTATCATACAACCGATTTTAAGTTACACCTTCGGGATCATAAGTGTGATCCGCATCCAATTTGGTGCAGCAGATTTTGTGATGCCGGAACAAACAAGACAGATAAAATTTCGAAAAAATGTTTTAGCTTCTATTGATCTTATTAAATCTTTCATAACCATTTTACGTAATTATCTCCCATGTACAGGGATCTTTTAGTTACTTTTTTTTTTAATGGGTGATAATGGAATGGTAACCCCACCTGCGCTATCGGTGTACACCGGCGGGGCACTAGTGGAAGATGATAGGTGAGAATGAAGCAGGCCAGTTAGCCCATCGTGACGAATTCAACAAGAATTGTTCACGATAGTTTCCAGTGGGAACCACGTGAAGGTCGACCTAATACAGTATAAGAGTTTGACAACCCCATTGCTAGCAATATGGGCATATTGCTAGCAATGGGGTTGTCATTATTTTTATTCCTCTGTACCCAGTAAATTCACGCCATATCCCACCCTTCAAACGGAAACACAGCCATGAAACAACTGCTTCACGGTAGAAACACGAATGGGACAGAGTTACCCAAGCAATCGACTTTTGTACGAAGTCTCCCTCTGGTATTTCTATTTATATCCTACTATTAAGGGTATATCAATAAAATGACATTTCTATTAAATACTTTTTACTGTGTATATTAAAAAATAAATGCTGAACTATAACAATAAATACAAATGTAAGTGTAACAATCATTTATTATATTTTTATTTATCTAATTGTAAAATAATATAAATTATTATAAATATAATCATAATTAAAAATTCACATTTTTAAAAAAAATACAGTGACTTTGTAAATGATAAAAAAAAATACATTCAAATTCAGAATCTCTATTTAAAGTCCGCTTGTATGACTTAGAATGGCAAACAAGCCGACGTTGTTACCGTCGACTATAGACATGAGCAGTACCACGGACATAACAGAGTATACTGTTTCGCCCATGATACCCTCCATGCATTGCCGTTCCTGAGGACTCAGGTGTTATTCCTCTGTACCCAGTAAATTCATGCCATATCTCACTCTTCAAACCGAAACACAGCCATATAGCTGGCATAAGAGATTCATAAAAAAAAGAACAATAAAGGCAGGTCAAAATTAGGACTAGAAATTCAGACTTGAGTCTTTCAAATACTGAAACATTTTGATTGCAAATTTCAAATAAACAAAAAAACATTGTTATCTATATATAAATTATGAAGCTCTAATTATCTTATATATATAATAGTAACACTATGTATGACCATCATATGGTATTTTTCCATCCGGCTCGAAGGACCACTTGAAAGGTAGAAGGAAGGAGTTGCTTAAAAGGTTGGGAAGGTCAAAGTTCAGAAATATAAAAATAAAAGACAAATTTCTTGTCTCAAGTTTGCCAATCAGCCAGTTTCTTGTCAGTTATCATCAAATGACTATTGTTGTTGACCGAGTTGTTAAAGATTTTTTCTGTCAAATGTCTTAGTGACCAGCGTGAAAACTGGTCAAAGAAGCTACAACACATTCTCTATAGAGAATATAATGCATTCCTGAAGCGACAGTGTAGCAATTGAACATTTCGAAAAGGGGTGTAAGAAAAGGGGTAAGAGCACTTGACTTAGTGTGGAAAGAGAAATGGGTTAAAAGACTACTTGTTCTCAATTTTTCTAATCAAAAACTTTTTAAATAACTTTTTTTTATTCATCATCTGTCTAAAATATTCAGTTTCTGGCCTTGACTCTCGGAAGGATTAATTTAAGAATTATCTTGGGTTTGGGCTGTACTGCCAAATGTTTATTGCCTGGCCCCTCATAACATAGGAATTATTATTAATAAATCCATAGAAATATACAAACATTTTCTCACTCTAAACACAAATTTGAAACCATCAAGTGTCAACAATTAATTTACATTCAATACTTAAATTGTAATTACTCTATAGTATATCTGACGACTTAATTAATTTGCCATTAAGCAATCCCATTTTGTGTTTCTCCCGTACGTGTCTCACCACATGGTCCTTGCGTTTGTATACTTGTCCACATATCGGACAGACAACAAACTGGTTTAGGTGCTGTGACTTCACATGCCTTAACATGTGATCACGTCTTTTGAACGTGGTCTGACAATGGGGACATATATGGCGTTCTGTCATTAAATGTGTCCTCTCGTGTTTTTCGAGCTTTGCCAGTGAGTCACATTGGAATTCACACTCTCTACAGTGAAATATCTCTTGGTCGCCATTGTGTTTTCTCTTTATATGTTTCAACAATATGTCTTGCCGTTTGCAGTCCTTCCCGCACACTGGACAGTTGCAATACTTCTGGTTTATATGTAAACTCTGTACGTGCCTTTTCAAATGATCCTGCCTCCTAAATGTAGCGTTACATAAGTTGCAAGTTAAAACCTTTTTCTGACCATGTAACTCCACATTATGGTGCTCGTATTCGACTATATCGTCGAAATTCAAGTCGCAATGACTACAGTAACTATTGTAAGACTCGGTGCTAGTTAATGTCGGTATAGAAATAATTTTCTGCGGGGTATTGGCGAACGGATTCACAGCGTATTTAGTACCGTCCGTCGCTTCGAATATTGCTGGCGTGAAGTAACTACTTTTTGCAGTGTCCACCATGTTTCACAATATTTAGTTGTTTGTTATTATTGATTGTTTATTGTATTTTTGTTTGACGTATAAACAATATACACCCTAAACTACGCGCAATCAATGAAAATTGACATTGACAGTTGTTTGCAGTGTTGCCAAAACAATACCAGGTTTTCAGGCTAGTAGAAATCGTAAAGGGCTACATTTCCTATTATTTACTTTTTTTAATTGAGCTAAAGGACCTAATATTATGTTGGCGAGTGATATATTTAGTAATCTGTTATATTATTATACTTTACTCATTTAATACATACTTCTGGAGATCTGTTTAATTGTATTGTGATATTCATTGTTTTGCTTATTGCCTGTATAAAGCGAATAAAATATACATACTAATTAATTTATTCATTCAATTGTATAAAAAATACAAAATCATTAAATATTAAAATAAAAAAAAGGTTATATAGTATGATCTTGGTTTTACGGGCCAAAGGAAACGTCTTTACTGTGGAAATACACTTTTACTGGAGGTAATCATATAAATCGTATCAAACATTGTAGTATACAAAAAACATGAGCAATCCAAAATTACCTCACAGACAGTACAGTGTAATTAAAAGGTAGATACAACTCATTCGCTAATTTAGAGTATACAATCATGGAATCGAGATGGGAGGCGGCGCTGGCGACCTCTGCTCTCTCAATTACCGTGAATCGGTAATCGAGTTATTGCTACAGTTATTAAAATAAATTGAATTACAATCATTCCAATAGTTTGAACGCTAGGTCTATTGTACATTTTTTGGTGTCACCATTGGAAAATTTTGATTTACAAATAAATCAAAGATTTTCCTTTTATTTTGATGGATCATAAATTTGTGTTAGACAGATTCAAGCTTGTTTCCACAAGTTATTATGGACTACGAAGTGATTAGGAAGTGGCGTAGTGATAGTTTTGGGTTTGTCAACACTAAATGAATATATTAAGGGCTAAGTGAGAAGAAAAAATAGAAAGCTCTCAAAGGGTTAAGTTGACAGCAATGAAGTGTTCCATAGTGTTAACCGTTACATATATATCTTCAAATCTATTTCGTGTGGTCCCGCAATATAATTGGCCCCTTCTTCCCTTCCCGTAGGTATCATAAAAGGCGAGTAAGGGAGAGCGAGGGATGGGCACCAGCATCCCTTTTAAAACATCTCCAAAGCCTAAATGCGATTGCTAATCCGCTTGTCAAGCGTGGCAACTACTGGCAAAATCTCTCTAGGAGGAGGCTTATCTTCAGAAGTGGACAGTTAAAGGCTGGTATGAACATGATTATATCTTCAAAATGATGGTTTTCTAAATTATATTTTAGTAAATCTATCTATACTATATTCTGCTCATTTAGCAAAACTTGATATAGCTGAGAATAACATTTGTGATTCTTGTAAAGATGTGGGTGATCTAAATTAAATTTTTTCCTTCCTCATCTTCCATCATTCCTCACTCATTAAGTTCCTCATTTCATTAAAAATTCCATTTCCTACATTAATTTTATACCCGTTAGCTCATTTTGATCCTTTGGTCTATAACCATTGAGTTTTCTTTATTTCTCATAATTATATCAAACTTTTACTAATAATAAAATACAGTATAATCCTTACCATTTCTTTTTAATATCTCGTCTCGTTTCCTGTTTGTTGGTGGTTTTTTTTATACAACTTAGAATGGCAAACAAGCTGACGGCCCACCTGATGGAAAGTGGTAACCGTCGCCTATAGACATGAGCAGTACCATGGACATTACAGAGTATACTGTTTCGCCCATGTTACCTCCCATGCGTTGCCATTCCTGAGGACTCAGGTGTTATTCCTCTGTACCCAGTAAATTCACGCCATATCCCACCCTTCAAACCGAAACACAGCTATGCGAACACAACTGCTTCACGGTAGAAACACGAATGGGACAGAGGTACACAAGCAATCGACTTTTGTACAAAGTCTCCCTCTGGTAATGGTTTTTGTGTTGCATGCACTATCTTATTAAATTTCTACCATTCTATATAGGAATGTCTCAGATATATAATTTATTTATTTATTTATTTAATTGCTAAATACTTCTAGGTACCATATACGTAATTTATTTTTTAATGGATGAAAATAGACTGAAATCCCCGCTTGACCTATCGGTATATATTTGTTACCTGTGATTCGTGAGGATGAATACATCAAATGCGTCATCATGACGAATTCGGCAAGAATTAACCACAATGATATCCAGAGAGAACCGTGTTGAGGTCGTCCTGATAATGTACATTGCTAGCAATGAAGCTACCAGACCTCATTACTAATCTTCCCCCCATATTATGTTGTATATGGGGGGATAGATATTGTTATTATTGTATATATTATAGTACATATAATATAACATCTTTACTGTTGTAATAAACAAATAAATAAAAAAATATATGTTTAAAAAAATTCTTACAGAGTGGCTTCAGCAGCTTAGTTATGACGAAATTGAAAAATTTATGTATCCTACCTTCTAAAATCTTTATTTATTTATTTATTCTTTACTGCACAATAAAATTTTGTACAAATGGCGAGCTTAATGCCATATGGCATTCTCTACCAGCTAACCATTGGGTAAAAACAGAAAGCTTATGTAGGGCAGTTGTGGTGAAAAATATGTGACAATTATAGTAACACATTAAGGCAATACACAATATAAATATAATATACACATAAGAAATGCACATATAATACATAAACATTACTTTTAATATATATGGATAAACTAATACATATGAAATACATACATATATATATAGATACATATATATATATATATATATATATATATATATATATATATATATATATATATATATATATATATACATACATATACATAAACTAAAACAACGATAAGCATTATGAGATATAATAACTATTGAGTAACCTGTAACTAGAGCTGGTTTTGTTATTCTCTAATTGTTATTTTTTTCCTGTCTTAGTGATTGATTATTGATTACCTTGCCTTTGTTTGCTAATTTATATCCAGTTTGACTGATTCGTTATTTAAACTTTGAAATATTATATAACTATGTGTGTATATTAATTTCATGTATTGTGTTCGTATCTCCTACGCCTAACAACTTTTATATTCTCCGTTTGTATGTATTACCATAAAATGTTTCATGCCAGGCAGGGGTCCTGGTGCCTTGTGATACGGGTTCTTTGGATACCCAGTTCAGGCACCAGTTCTCTACAACTTTGATTTATCTATGGTATTATTTATTTTAAATGTTGTACTATTATTAAAACGTTGTAGTTCATGCTTCGCTTTTTCGTCGCTTTCAAGCGACTCAAAATCAGAGTCTATCTCCTACATATAAAGGTTCTTGATTAACTTTTATCCACATTAAGGTAACCGTGGCTCATCTTCGAGGGAAAGGCATTGTTTGTAATTGGGTCTCAATTCCACTGCTAGCAATACACGCTGTCAGGTGACCCCCCCCCCCACACAGTCCCCTGGAAACTATCGTGATTAATTCTTATCTTTTTTTTTACAACACAGGGGGCAAACGAGCATGTGGCTCACCTGATGGTAAGTGACTACCGCCGTCCATGATCACCCACAACACCAGCGGCATTGCAGGTGTGCTGCCGGACTTTTAAAAAGGAATATACTCTTTTCTTGAAGGTTATGTTGTCGTGTCGGTTCGGAAATGCTGCTGCTGGAAGTTGATTCCAAAGAATGGTTGTGCGTGGAAGAAAGTGCCTTGAAAAACGCTCGGTGGAAGACCGCTACTCGTCCAGATGATTGGGGTGAAACTTTAGTTTGTGGCGGGTTGTACGGTGGTGAAAATCAGCAGCAGGTATCAATCCGAACAATTCCTCAGAACACTCCCCATGATAAATTCGGTAGAAGATGCACAGAGTTGCAACATCTCTGCGCAGTTTCAGTTGGTCAAGTCGGACAGTAAGGCGCTAATCATCAATACTTCGAGCCGGCCGAATTTGATTGCGGTCTAACGGAAGGAGTTGGTACTGTGGCGCTCCTGCCCACAGATGAGAACAGTATTCCATATGCAGCCTGACTTGGGCTTTATATAATTTCAGGCGGTGTTCTGGCATGAAATATCGAATTAGGTTTGATGTGCCAGCTGACCCGTTTACATCTTCACCAATCATTCCTCACCGATGCCAGCGTTCATAACGTCCAAGATGAATATTATGCTTGTGTTAGAAAGTCTGCGAAAAATTGCTTTCAGGGCATTTCTAGATATCAAGCCTAATTTTATCTTTTATCATTCCTTACTGGTACTTAGCGTTATACCAAAATATACCGATAGCACAGGCAGGGTTATCATTCCATTGTTATCCATAAAAAAGCATACTTCTTTAAAAGTTATAAATCAAACTTGACTGTAAAATTTTGACCTTATAAAATATATAACCATTTTACCAGAGATTCACCACCTAACCAATTTTGATACTTTTTCTGACATTTAAAATATTTATTATGTGTATATTTAATATAGTAATAGGGTAATAAAATAAAACAAGCATATAAAGATTTAATATTGGACTAATATTTAGTAAAATACCATATTATAATAATAAAATTCATATAAAAATTCAAGTATTTCAATTTTAAACAATACCTACGAACTTGTGGGATCGGCGTCAACGCGTTTATACAAGGAGATCTCACATAAACAGTCCACGATTCGTCGTGTTAACTTTTTAACGGCGACAAAAAGTCGCTCGTGTGCGTCGAGCTGTTATCTGAAAACCTAACTTAGCACAAACGCAATACAAAGGGAAATCGTAAAAAGATAACATTTCGAGGTTTACGTTGGAGGCAGCGGCTTGTGACTGTAACAGACGGGCGACTCTCGGACACTAACTAGAGACGCTAATGGTGGTCGCAACTCGACGCGTCGTCTGTCTGCGGGCCGACTAACCACCAACGTAACTCTCTAAGACTTTGATCCACCGATTCCCCACAAGTATTTAACGCTATAATTAATTCTATTACTTCAAACAAGAAAAAAATATAATTCACTCTCGATAAAAAATAATGTAAACACAGGTAAATTCAAACTACATAGTTTATGCCTAGTAAGTTTTTACATAAATATATAAAAAATGTACGGTAATATTATTTATTATATAAAAAAGAAAACAACTAAAACAATACACTTACACCGGTAAAGCTCTGATTAGAAATTTCGAATCTACGTTGCGATGCAGTATTTTATTGACAGAAACAGGTTTTTTTACATTTTTTTTTCTAGTATTTTTCATCAAATGTCATTAAATATACATATATATACTTAAATTTATTTCCTTATGGCCAATGTGCATTGTTTAACTTTTTATATTGGCGAAAGCTTAGTCTAAATTGCAGTGTAAAATTACTTATCGGAAAATACTGAAAAAACGATTAACACTAATAATAAAAATATAAACAACTAACTACAGTGAATATAATAACTACTAGTTAAATAAAAAAAGTTATACAAAAATCCAGTAAAAAATAAATAAATAGGAATAACTTCAAAAATACATCAAAACAAATGGGTGATATAAATATATTAATTACAAAAGCTCAGTTTGAGCCTGAAATACATGAGTCTATGACTTTAGCAATGAAGCAACCCACTCTGCAGTAAATAAAGGCTTCAGCGGGCTGTGACAATCTCCTTTGTTCTAAAAAGAACGCAGATTCTTCGTTATTTTCCAGTAAGCGAGCCGCTTCATTTTAAAGTGTGTCAAAACGCACGTATTCTTCGGCTGAAGCCACTCTCCAGAATTAAGTAAATATAGGAATCACTGGGCGCTGAAAGCTGACCCTTGTCTTTTTGGTAGTCGTCTTTGGTCAAATGGAGACGTAGCAAAAAAATGTACTTAAAAAAATAGGGTGTGACAACACAAGATTCAAGAAAGCACGCGGGCTACCACCGCAAGTGGGTGACTTTTGTAGTCTACGACTGTAATTGATGATAATCTTGTCTCAAGTAGTGACAATTATGTGAACTAATTTACCGATATATTTGTGTGGTAGCCCGAAAAAAAATCAATTGCACTATCCCAAACAAAACTACAAGATGAAACACAGGAGAAAGATTTCAAATTCATTTTAATATTTTCACAATAGTCTAAAATAATAAACAATCCGGCTACCTTTTACAAAAGCAGAGAGAAACAGTTTTCGCGTAAATTCACAAAATATTTCATTTTCCATTTAAAAAAAAAAAAGTGGCTTGCGTCCGCTCAACTCGGCCGCTTCAAATGCCATGACAAAGGTACGTTTCCAAACTATAGGTGTATGTCATCGCAGTGTGCTTAATTCTAAAACAAAGCTTAAAATTAATCTTAATTATTTCTCACTAAAGCTGTCACTAAAAGTCGCAAGTTTAAGCCCGGAGTAGACTCGCGACATTCTGAAGACAACGACACTGCGCAATTCGGAAACGAGCGGTAATTTCGAACACGTGTCGCAAGTCTACACCGAACGCAAAACGGTCGAACCGAGCGGGACGCGATTAAACGAGCAACAGAGTAGCAAATTCGAATTACGAATTTAAAAAATTGATTACATACAACATGTCACTGAAACAACTGCCTATAAAAATATATAAATCTTATTTCAAACCAATTTAAATAATAGTTGCGTTCGACTCCCACTAGTAGGAAGGAAATCCAATGTTAGCATTTAGGACTTGCGTGGAGCCGCTTAAAAGTCTATTAAAAAAATAATTTCAATGCACCATCGTGTGGTCAGGATCGAGCATCGAGAGCACGTGACACACATACGTGAATATAAAAAAACCGACGCCGGTGCATAGGAAATCTTTAAAAATAATATTGTCTAGCAACGATTTCAAATATTTAGGTACTATTTCTCATACATTATACATAACTAGGTAATGTATTCGATCAATTGCTCTACTTTTGCTATTATTTTAAAATTATGTAATAATTAAGTTCGCTTGCGGTAATCATCGACTAGTTTCATAGTGCAACTATGCCTGTAAACGATTCCTGTTCTAAATATGTTTACGGTTTTAAAGAAAACAAACGAGCCTATCCCGATTCGCGTTATAAACAGTGAAAGACCAGATGCACTGTCTCGTTTTTCATATGCGGTAGCGTAAATGTTTCTAGAAAAGAATTCGTTTGCCACTTGATTGGGCGCCCTGTTGCTTTATTTGACACTATTGACCATTTTTGTACCCATATTTTATATTGCCGAGGTCAAAATGGATGCAGTGTTAAAGCGGACATTCCTTCAAGGGGGACTAGTCGACGCGCTTACAGCGAGCGAAGCAACAATTTCACTAGAGACCCTAGCACGAATTTACATGGCGCCGTCGCGTGCGAACGCTAAGACGAAAACTCCTCTAACACGCTCCGCCGCCGCAAATCGTAAAAAAAGTTTCTTTTTTTGCGGGATTTTTCAAAATTTTCTCTATTCACTAAGAAAGTTCAACGTACGAACCACTATATACATGCAAGTGATAAAGTGCGAAAAAAACTCACTCGGGAACGACGAGGGGTCGACAGATCACCATCAACAACAACAATACAAAGTCTACATCGTCGAGTACAAATCTCACAAAAAAATGTACACTTATAAACATTTATTAAAAGAGTGACAATGCCCCCCCGTGGTGCGTCGCAAGTGATATGAACGTCAACATTACCGTCTAAAAGGAAAAAAAAATGTATCTAGCACACACGCTTATTAGCACAAACAAACAACTTACAACAAGAACAGAGCCGCATCGCGGTATAAACAAGAAAGCAAAACAACCTACAAACTAACAAACGAATAGAGAACTGCCGCTCCGCATGTAGCAATACGTTCAACTAAAAAAGCCTCCTCTCTAAACACAAACGTGTCCAAATCAACTAAATCGTATCAAAACAAAACGTTGCGGAGCGAAAGAAGTTATATAAAATTAAATTACACTCCCCCGACCAAAATGGATTTATTCCATACATATTTATCATAGTTGCAACTTTTACTAAGACATTAAGAAACTCCGAAAAACATAGAAATAATTAATAGTCATATTCGAGAACATTGCTTTTGATCGAGGGCTAAAAATAATAGGAAATCTCCTCCCATGTTTCAATTAAACTAGACAACACATTCAAACCGTCGGCTACGAATCAACAGTGCTCGACGAATAATCTCCTCCAGTGCCTTGTATTCAAGATCACATCTTAAACAAAGCGTGTTAAGGATCAATTTGAGACAGCATTATTAAAATCACATGTTCATTCGCTTTCTGATTGCGAGAGAAGGCAGTTTGGTTAGACGACTTCGTCCTCGATAAAAGCTCGTTAAAAACCCAAACGCTTTGTCTATGACAAATCTTCTGTCAAATAGTAGGTACTGGCAACTTGAGGAATAATCCAGATTCCGTCTAGTGGATCTACGATAGTTTAGCTAGACAATGCGAAAGCTCAGCAGAGACCAATATCCCAAACACCTCGGTCATAATCTAAACACCAATTAAGTTTTATCGCTGGGTTTTGACAGACCTTCAAGGAATCAGGGGAATTGTTACTACTCGAATCACATTCTCCGTTATCGATTCTAGCTAGCAACTTGCGTGACGTTCCTTCACATTTAATGTTTCAACGAATAACAAGACCATATAACAAACGGACTACGATACGAATTAGGACAAGTAGTTACTATAAAACAAATAAAAGGTAAAATTGAAGGCACCCCGTGACGATGAAACTCCTTGAAGATCTGTTATCGGGTCGTGACGACCGTTATATTACAAAACAAAAACAAATCATCACCCAAGCGTTCAGCTACAAACGTTGCGCGCAAAGTAAAAAAACCACTTCCGAATTCACAATTGTCGTTTTTTATAAAAATACAAAAATACAAAATGGGACAGTGCGACCACACAACAACACTCACGCGTCCCACCTCTTTATTATTTCAACTAGGAGGGTTAGGGGGCACCAAACAATTTCACCAAATATATATATTGAGCAATTTCATTCAAATAAACGGTAGAGTACAACAAACGCACGAAAACAGCATAAACCAAACCATAAACAGTGACGTCACACATCGATTCAGAGACAAAGGATATTCAAAAACAAAATTTTCCCAAAGTGTTGTCACATAAGAAAAATTTCTACCAAAGTGGAAATTTAAAAATGCAATAGAAAAATAAAGCTGGACCGTTGGAACGGTTAAATCGAGGTGCTGAGCGAAGTGAAGGATGAGTTTTAAGTGTAACCGGAGCCCGCTCGAGGCGTGTCCAAATTATCTCCTAGGTAACTTCTAATTTTTAATTTATTAAGAGAGAACCACGAGTTGGCAATCTCAATTATTTGCTATTACTGAATCTATTTAATATTTCACTATAACTATAAGAGTTTCTGTCACGGCGTGACGACCGAATGGCTCGACTTTTTGTATCAATATAAATACATATTATTACACTAGATTCTAAGAAAATATAAATATTTCGCAAATATTTCTTTTTGTCTACATTTAATTGAGTTAGTTGAACATTATTTTTGAATTTGTGACACAAAAAGTCGACAACTCGTGCATATTATGGCAAAAAATTTCACTAAAATGCTCTATAGTATTAATACAAATTGTACCTACTTATCGTTTAGAAAAATCGAAAGAGGTCCGTTTTGCCCCATCCAACTAGCAATATTCAGAATAAAACGTTGCTAAAAGCCTTCTATTGGCTCAATTGGAGAGGCAAAATTGACCCGAGGGGTAATATCCCATTTTATACCTTCTTAGTTTGAGAAAAACGCATGCCAGACGTTTTAAAATGTGTCGAAGTTTAATAATATTACGGTGTCATGTAATTGGTGGTGTTATGTAGCCGAGAAATTAGTTCTTCAATTATTTTAACAGGTGGTGATTTTGCTCAATAGATGATAGTTACAGAAATGGTTCCTTCAATCTTTATATGCATGTAAACTGAGCAATTACGTTGAATCTCGGCGACAGTTTCAACCATTGGATGAAGGAAACGCCAAAATCGGGAGGGGTACGCCAAACGTAGTCGCATTCAAGGCACTATAAAGCCCTTTTTCATCTAATTTCGAAAAAGATACACAACATTAAAAAATCTCTTCAAAATCATGAAAAAATCATCAAAAAATTCGCGCAAGTCTTTTTACTACAGTCTATAAAACGTCCGTGGTCGTCGGGATACGGTATCTCACCCGCGCGGTGTCCCGCAATTTAAGTACACAACGAAAAAGAAAAACCCCGAAAGTTTTGGTACATATAACAACGAAGAACGACTGCTGGCAACACTGTTCTCTTTGTATTTGAATATCGTAAAGGAATTTCAAAACAAACTTAATAGCCATCGTTTCACCAATAGATGGCATTCTAAATTAAATGTGTGAAATACATAGAAAACCAGTGTTACCAGTAATAAACTTCCATTACACTAGTTAATAAATTGGTTAATATATTCCTAAAGTGACTAAACTATATGCTATTGCACTATCCCGGCTGATCGAAAAAATATCTTTACTTTTAACGCTAAATAACTCGAGAACGTGCCTACAGCCATAATGGTAACACGTTTGTACTAAAACGAGTCCCTACCGCCTCCCCTAATGAAGTAAAAACAGTGTAGGAACAAAATTATATAAATATATCCCATTCGGGTCAAAAGGAATAGTCGACAGGCATTAACTACGTGCCGTGGTAACAAAAATAACATGTACTAGGTACACTAGGATTCAAATCCTGCTTATTGATGATGATTAAACAGAGATGGACAATTAGTGAAGCGTTCAAATTAGTTCGAATAGTACAGTAATTTATGATCGTTATTTGTCTTATTAAACAATATAAGTGATATATTTCCTTAGTCATCATCTGCATTTATAACTAAGAGAAAAATTATAGTCAATTTGTTTGCCATTTGTAAAAAATTGATTCTGAATGATAAAATCAAAGATTTTGCAGTTTTAAAAAATATCAAACTCTTGCAAGAACTTATATGCAGAGTGCGTTATATTTTTTGCAAAACTTCATTTTAAATGTTATTTTCTAATTGCTAACTATTAAAGCAATTCTTATTTATAGTACATTATTATGCATATAATTTTAGCACAATTTATAATTTTATAAATATTGAAATAATGCTTTAAAATGACAATTATAATCACAAAAAAGCTAAACATTTACGTTACGACAGAGACATAATTCGTTAAAATCTATTGTCAGTTACATTGTTCACTAAGACAGATAACAAATCAAATTGTGCAAAATAATGCTTTAATTTAGTAAGCGAGCTTGAATTTTATTCAAACCAACATATAGGAAAAGAGTCGAGAGTTTAAAAGGTCGTTAACGGCAAAAATCGTCTTTGAAGGCGATAACACAGTGGAAAACAGTAACAAAGCTAATCCCTTATACATAAAACATTAAATTATACTGAACACAAAAACATGCCGTAATACTGAAACAGCCGACTAATCGCAAATGTACACGAAGGGGACGAAACAATCGCAACAATATCCAAGTCGAGCGTCCTAACCGAAATTCGAGGAAATCTTAGGAAATTCAATCTAGCTACACAGGTACAATTATGTTTTTTTTTTAATTTATCGAGAAACCAGACATTCCACTTATGTCTTACATTTAATATCTTACGATAAGTGAGCGTACGCGTCCGCGACAAGTCGCAGCGATTGATCGCAGCAATTCAATCGTTGAGCGCGTCACCATCTCAAGATAGAGCTTACCAAAACGGACATCTAGCTAAGTTTTTTGGATACATATTTTTGCTTATATCGAAATCTATGGTTCACTGGATCGCTGCCCTCGTGAACGCTGAAAACTACCAAAATAGTAGTAGTAGTTTCCCAACTGGCAACACTTGCTCGTTTACGGAGACAGCGATGCCGCAAACTTAACGCTTGTACTTGAATTCTATAATATTCTGCTTAATATTAAACATTGGATAATGTCGCTTATTAAATTGTTTTATTTTATTTTCTATTGCCATAGTCAATAGCTTACGGTTTCCAATCAGTGTGTCGTATCCGTTAGTGACATTCGAAACGCTTCGTACTTTGTCATTAAGTAATAATGTTGCCAGCATTTATGCCAATTGTTACCAATTAATGGAAAAATCGAACCCTTGTAGTCTGTCATAGACAAGATTATATCGCTACTCGGATTAATTTTTCCATTTTAAACCGTTCCGTATGATTTGGGTTTTATGTATAATACAGAATTGATTCAACGCGGTAGTAGAAACACCGTTTTAGGAAACTTAACAGAGTGATTAGCGCGGTATTACGAGACTACCGCCATAAAACAATTCTGGACGAGTGTACGGCAGGGCCGAGAAGTATGGGGTAGAGTGGGGTAAGGTCAATTAAGGGAATGGCATTCATAACAAAGTGTGGCAACTCTGAATTGTCGTTTTTAAAAACTTTCAACATTACTGAATGATAATTTAAAGAACGCTTTGATAGCTAACTAAAATGTTAATGTCGAGGGAAACCTAACCTAACCTTTATTACCGAACCGAAATTTTGGATTTTAAAAGTATTGGGAAATTTTAAAAGCAAAATATTTAGTGGCATTTGGATTTAACGTGCATAATGTTTTATAACATTTTAGTTTGTTATCAGTTTATTTTTTAAATTATCTTTTAGGAACATCGAAAATTATTCAATATTTAAACAAAACCGACTTAATACAGACATTGCTACATTTAGGTATGAATATCATTATGCAACACATGATTCCAGTTTCATACCTACAGCCCATCATTTACCTCTATGGCAAAGATACGAGAATCACGTCTGTTCATAATTGCCATTCCCACCAACTGCTCGCCCGTGCCGCTCACTCCCGCCCACTAGCGCCCACTCTCGTTCACTCCCGCTCACTAACACCAGCGGAAGGGCACCGCTCGCGGACGGTCAGCGCCTTCCTTGACGAGCGGCTTGTGGAATTCGCGTCCGGGCCGTGAGTGAATCGTCGCCCAGCAGTGCTCGCAGTAATACTGAAATGGCGAAAACAGAGTATTCATCAACACTGACATGGCGGAGTAATATGAAAATGGCGGCGAACACTGAATGAAATAATGGTGCTGAAATGATGGAAAAATGACGTTTTAATCAAAAAAAATTGGCATAATAATATTGAATTAGGTAGCAGAAAGATCACAGAGTAATTAATATACTGAATTTGAATTTTACAAAATATATTCAATATGTTGAAATGGCGGGAAATACTGCACGGCATGTTTTTACGAAAACTGTGAAAAAATATGTATGATATATATATATATATATATATATATATATATTGCTGAATTAGACTGGTTTTGTCACATCTATTATTATATTAGTGACATTAAATGGCTCAGTAGTACTGAACTAAAGAGACAAATCGTGAGCGCCGTGTGATCCCAACTTAGAAGAGCCTAGGAGGAGCTTAGGGTCGAAGAGTGGGCAGCAGCGTCCCTCTTAATACATCACCAAAACATAACTGCGGTTGTCAACCCGCCTGCCATGCGTGGCAACTATTAGGACTCCCCTTATTAGGGAATTTTGCTGTTTAGTAGTGGACAGTTAATGGCTAATATAGAGACAAACTGTATGGGACAGAGACATTGAAATTGCAGAATAGTAAAGTAAATAAGTTGTGGGAAATACTGAATCTGCATTGGGATCTCTCAAATGGCTCAGTAATATCAAAATGGCGGAAAGATTGTATTTATAACTATGAAATGGCGTAGTAATATGGTGAATGGCGAGGTTGTGCGTGTGTGATAATATAGGTAATAATTACCTGCAGGCAGGTGACGTTTGCGCAGAAGAATGGCGCGAACTTAGAGCCGCACCGCGCGCCGGCGCACTCGTCACACATCTGGTCGTCCAGGACGTACGGCTTCACCTGGTGACCAATCAACTTTATACAACTGCACCTCTAATCCTTACTATCCGGTGGAGAGGACTGTAATGGGGACTAATAGCACCATTGCCAGCAATATAGCCTCTCAAGTCGACCATCACTGGTCCAATTTAGAAACCATCGTTTCTCATTCCTTATAAACTTCAGCTAATTAGTAATCGGTTAATTTAATCATTTAACTGACCTAACTCTATTCTGACCATTATCCTATTAAGTAGCTCCAATACTAAGTCTACCTCCTCGCGTCTCCTTAGAGATCATCGTGGTAAATTCCTGGTAAATCTAGCTCCAGCTATTTGGAGATGTGAATTTACAATCTAGTATACTTTGAGTTTACCAAATGCGGTCCAATAAGAACAATTGCCTTGATTCTCAGGAACAGCAAAGGATAAGAATTACCATGGGTGTCATAAGGCATTATGTATATCCAGGATGCTGTTCATGGAAAATGGAAAATGAATGTGGAAAATCATACATGCCGACAGTTACCTAATGGAAAGTGACAACCGGACTTTTATCTGTTATGCCTATGGTACCCTTCGTGTTTTGCCATTCCCGAGCACTAGAATCTTATGTTTCCGTATTCTGTTATTTCTCTGGTCGTCTGGGTAAGTCTTAATATAGCCTAGTCGTATCTAATAGCGTATTTAACTTATTCCAGCTTTCTAAAAGAAGAATCTTTGGGAGTCCTCATTTGCATTTTGCGGTAAACGTCAGACAATTTTGGGTTGGACGCGGCTCATCCAGCTTCTCATGTAAATATACCTATGGTCGTGTCTTGAGAGTAGATAGTAGGAATGATAAGTGAAAATCATTAGTGTAATCACCTCGACTCGCTTGTCAATGTCCCCATGCTGCAGCTGCACGAATCGCGCCGAAATCGCGGCAATGTACGACTGTTGGTTGGAGAACGCCACACGTCCCGCGCCCTGTGAAACAACAAATCAAGTTATAACTAAATTAAGTTTCTCGATGGAGACAGGGCAATCAGTTAAATTAAGTTTCCTTCTGGTACATTTTTTTCACAATCTCGGAAATTATTCTCGATTGAGAGCTATTCTGTAGAGGTAATAAGTCTTTTCACCTTTTTCCGATCCTGGGCAATTACTCTTGACGAGGGCAACTATTCTGCAGAGATAATCAGTAACTTTCGGGGCAGAAAAAGGGTTTAGTAATTGACGTTTAACAGCCTTAATCTATCACGTTGTCCTTCAAGCGGTTCGCCTTGAATACCATTGTGGTTAATTCCTGGTGAAAGCATTACGAAGCCAACTGATTTTATTCCCACGTATAATGCATCACACAACGCACCAGCGTATACAAACAGCATAGCTTCCCAGCTATGCTGTTTGTATGTCCCATAATTGTCAGAAAAAGGAGAAGGGGTGTAATTAATTCTGATAAGGCCAAAGTATAGAGGAACACTGCTCTTCCAGATCATTCTAGAAGTTGGATAATTTGCACGATCTCACCTTGGGGTACTTGAGCTCAGGATCCGTGTCGATACCGGCGTAACACACCCCGCCGTACAATCGGTCCATGATCATCGCCAGCTCCACTGCGAAAATGGAATAAAATTAAAATTAAGAAACCAGTAAACAGAAGATCGCGGTTAATTCTTGATGAATTCATCATTATAAATCAAGTGATCTGACTTCATCCTCACTTGTCATTCCAAATTAGTGGTCCGCCAGCGTATACCGATAGCGCAGATAAAGGTTACCATTCCATTTATTATGAATTAAAGAAAATACTGCCTCCTCTTCCAATGACCGCGTGTTCGATTTACGCCAATACAAGCACTCGTGTTATGACTTTACCCTGGTCTGGGAGTCTCCCATTTTTTAAATTTATTTACCATTTATTTATTTATTATTATAGTGCATTCATGTACATTGTATAGAGATTTTACAATGTTATCATGAAGAGTAAGTCCATGAATCCTGTTCGGGTAAAAAATATATTGATAGGTAGCTAATATACGTGCATTTATTTAGTACACATAGTACAAGCCACGCTGTCTCCGCTGAAAAGCATTGGTATTTTTAACATAAGATATAAGCAGCGGGGAGGAGGGAAGGGCGGGACCCTTACATTATATATGTACTCATGTCTGAGAATAGCCTTTGCGCATAGCTGCAAGCTTCGTTTGCACTCTAGGATGAGCACGGCCCATCCGGACCCATTAAATACATCTATGCTGTAAACTATGAATTCAGAGAATTCACGTTACTCTGAGATGGGTTAACTAACTTGACTTCATCCTCACCTATACATATCGCTACTGTTTACACTATCATCATCATCATCATCATTTCAGCCATTATCCGTCCACTGCTGGACATAAGCCTCCCCCATAGACTGCCATAAGGTACGGTCCTGAGCCACCTGCATCCACTGACTCCCTACAATGCATTTCAGGTCGTCACTCCATCGTACGTAGCCGCTACTCAAGACACTTAAGAACCTTTCTTCCTCAATGGTTGTCGATTCTACGAGCTATGTGACCAGCCCATTGCCACTTTAGTTTGCTGATCCATCAGGTTATGTCGCTTACCGTGTCGCAACCGTGAAGCAGTTGTTTTTGCATGGCTGTGTTTCGGTTTGAAGGGTGGGATATGGCGTGAATTTACTGGGTACAGAGGAATAACACCCGAATCCTCAGGAATGGCAACGCATGGGGAGTATCATGGGCGAAACATTATACTCTGTTATGTGCATGGTACTGCTCATGTCTATAGGCGACGGTTACCACTTTCCATCAGGTTCGCCAGTGACAATTGTGACAAACAGTGTTCGTGACACTTAGTGCAGCTTGAGCGACCGCCGCCTTCGACACCGGCCAAGTATCGGCAACAGGTACACAAGTCACTCCGGTGACTACATTTCAACATTGCCATTCTAAGTTGTATAAAAAAAAAACACATTAAAAAATCACTCACCGGCCTTTAGCGGGCGAGGCACTCCACCCACGAAGACGGTCTTGCGCGGATCCAGCGGCATACTGGCATCGAGCACAAAATCCGCGTCGGCCAGCCGCCACGGCCGTATCTGGACCGGCTTGTCACGGATCGTGGGCGACGACACGCACAGGTACAGCTTGTCGTCGTCGGTGATGCACGCCTCCATCAGAGCCGCTACCGAGCTCTCGTCCTGAAGTCGGTGTATTGTTACTTTTACAATAGAGTACAAATAGCGAGGTCTAGGAGGAAGGGATTGTTAGTAATGCAGACTATCACCAGTCCCATTGCAATTTTTTTTTAATGGGTATAAATGGCATGGTAACTCCGCTTGCGATATCGGTATACACTGGCCAGGTACCAATAAGAGATAATAAGTGAAGATGAAAAGGCAGGTCAGTTAACCCATCATGAAGAATTCAACGATAAATTAGTCACGATAGTTTCCAGAGGGAACCATTTGGAGGTCGACCTGATAGGGTATATTGATAGCAATGAAGACCTCCCCATTACTAACAATCCCTTCCCCCCAGTCCCATTGCTCAGGTCGATCTCTACGTGGTTCCCCCTGGAAACCATCGTGCTGAATTCCACATATATTCATCATGATGACTGACCTTCTTTTTTATTCTCAACTATTTATCCCTCATTGGTGCCCCGTCAACGTATACCGTTAGCACAGGCGGGGTCACCTTTCCATTATCATCCATTAAAAAAAACAGTAAGGTGTTTTAGCAATTTTACAAGATCTTTTAAATCGTCATTTTTCATGATTAAATTGTATGGTACGGTATGTTAATGATTATCTAATGAGAAGAGCCCGTATTTTTAAGTATTTTTGAGTAGTAATTTTTTTTTAATCTACCCAGCCCAGTTTGGAATGCAATTTCAGCTGAACACAGCATAGGGGTATGACTACCAGAGGGAGACTTTGTACAAAAGTCGATTGCTTGAGTACCTCTGCCCCATTCGTGTTTCTACCGTGAAGCAGTTGTGTTTGCATGGCTCGGTTTGAAGGGTGGGATATGGCATGAATTTACAGGGTATAGAGAAATAACACCCGAGTCCTCAGGAATGGCAACGCATGGGGGGTATCATGGGCGAAACAGTATACTCTGTTATGTCCATGGTATTGCTCATGTCTATAGGCGACGGTTACCACGTTCCATCAGATGGGTCGTCAGCTTGTTTGCTATTTGAAGTTGTATAAAAAAAGCTTATTTGTCATTCTAAATATCATTACAAAAACCTACCTTTTCCCACCACCAATATCTTCAGCCAAATCCGTCTGGCAACAACTCTCTCTCCAAATCCTCATGGCCCATTCTATGTTGAGGTCACACGACAAATATATAAATATCACTTATAGAACTTAGATAAAATGTGAAAAGCGGTACTCACTTGAAATAGAAGAAAAGCGTATCCTTTGGGCGGAAAATAACTCTTGCTCTCTGCTTTGTGTGGCCAGTCCACCACCAGGGGGCCGAACCGTCGGAACGATGACGTTATCTCGTCTAAAACAACGAATCTTGTTTTTAATATTTCACTAAACTAGATGTTTTTTTACATAAGTCCATAGGTCTGGTTAGTTAAGTACAAATATTTTGTTTCCACTGTACACATTCCATCAGGTGGGTCGTCAGCTCGTTTGCAGTTTCACGTTAAATATATACATATAATAAACTTGTAGAGGTTGAATGTCTGTACATAAAAAAAAAAAAACGCTAAAATCCGAGTTAGGGGGATGTTAGAAGTGAAACAGAACATATATTTAAAAAAATATATTTCTTTGTTTGTACGGGCTAATCTCCAAAATTGTTGGACCGATTTAAATGAAATTTTGCATGGTGATACCTTACGTCTCTGGTCAATATTTAAGACACTTTTAATCATATTTAATTAAAAAGTTCCTGTGGGATATTTAAAAAACTTTAGCAATTTAAGTAGGCAGTGTACTAAGCTGTATTTTTGGCCTTAAGCAAAGAGTATAATAAGGTCTTAATAAGAACAAAAGAAATAATAATTTTTAAAAATTTTGTCTTGATTATCTGTATGTTTGTTCCGGCGTCACCCAAAAACTACTCCACTAAACTGGATGTGGTTTTCATAACTATATTATTCACCAGAGGGAGACTTTGTATAAAAGTCGTTTGCTTGGATACCTCTGTCCCATTTGTAGTTCAACCGTGAAGCAGTCGTATTTGCATGGCTGTGTTTCGGTTTAAAGGGTGGGATGTGGCAGTGAATTTAGAGGGTACAGAGGAATAACACCCGAGTCCTCAGGAATGGCAACGCATGAGGAGTATCATGAGCGAAATAGTATACTCTGTTATGTGCATTGTACTGCTCATGTCTATAGGCGACGGTTACCACTTTCCATAAAAAAAAAACAGACTTCAATTGTACAAAATCAAAATTAAAAAATTACTGATCCAATTTTGGTAAAGTTTTTATGAGATCAATCTATAAGTATATCCTCTCATACAAAAAAAAGAACGTTCTAGATTTTTTAAATGACAGAATTATGAGGTAACAAACAAAAAAAGATACAACCGAATTGGGAACCTTCTATTTGAAGTCGGTTAAAAATTATCAGTCCATAAAATTTTAGGTCAGAAGCTAGCTCTGGGTTCTTAAACGAAATTAAGGCTAGCTCCAACTGTTCCGGTTACCATTGCATTGTTAGTGCAACAATGACACGACCCGATTGTGGTGTGCGGCATCCGGTCGCCAGGTACATAGGTAGAATTGACGAGAAAAACTCGGTCGTTGGATTAGAAGATTTGTTAAAACGATTTTAGTGCAGTGAAATTTTTTTTATACCACTGAGGTCGCAAACAGGCATACCTATCATCCCTCACTGGTGCCCCGCCAGCGTATCCCGATATTGCGTGTGGGGTTACCATTCCATTATGACCCATTAAAAAAACCGTTTCCATCTTAAAGATGAAAAAAGTCACCATGGGAAACCGCTACTCACATGGGATTCTTCTCATCTTATGGCGCCCCTCTTAGATCTAGGCTTTCTACTAAGCCCTCCTGACTGCTTCCCCCCATCCTAAGACCGCGTGGCAGACACTTACCTTCGTCAATGTCCGGCGGCAGCCCCCCGACGAATACCTTCCGGCTGAACCGCTCGCCGTGCTCCGAGCCGGCTGACACGGGCGACGAGCGCGCCGGCGAGCCGAGCGCGCTCACACACATAGACAGACCTGCAAATTTTACATTACCATCTTTTAATATTTAGTTCGAGCAGTAAAATTAGAGGATACCGAGGTATAATGCAATCATTCTCATCAGCAAATCAGTCTTTAACTGTTGGACACAGCTGAACATAAGCCTCCCCCCTTTAGAGGGGTTTTGCTAGTTGTTGTCACGCTTGGCAGGCGAATTGGCAACCACAGTTAGGCTTTGGAGATGTTTTAAGAGGGACGCTGCCGTCATCCCTCGCTGCCTTAGTCGTCTTCCACGACACCCACGGGAAAAAAAGTTCTATGCTGACCCCACACGGCGAATATACTTCGTCGTCTTTGACGTCTTTTGAATTTGCGTCGTACGAAAAGTACTAGAGGTCTCGGTGTGTGGGCATCATAGCCCATGGTGCTGTCCATGATGGTGGCCCTTCGGCTTGTTTGCTATTCCAAGTATTGTTATAAAAGTATTTAAAGTTGCGGTCATTTACAACATACAAAAATAGAACAGTTTCTATGAAACTTAGATAAATAGACTGATGACCCACGAGATGGAAAGTGGTTAAAAAAATACCATGGACATCTTTCAGACTGAAGCTGTATAACCACAGCTGCCTCGCGAGAGAAACATGAACGGGATCGAGGAACATGTAGACGATTTTTGTATAAAGTCTCGCTTTGGTTTTTATTGTTAAAAGGTAATAGGATTGACCATTTTGTCATTTCATGGGATGTGATGGTATTGTCGAAGATGGAGCTCGTGGGCCCTAACTTTAAATCGGTCTAGACTATATGTGGTTGGAAAAACTAAAGCAGGGGAGCCGTATGCATGATAAAGGAAGACGCCATAGCGCCTTATGACTAGAAATATAAGGGTAGCGATCTTCTCACTGTCTGGTCGTCAGATGCTGAAAGGGTTATGGAGAAATCTGGTCATGCTGTTCCTAAATCACGTTATTATGTCCAAATATCCTCTGGTTATACAAAACTGAGCTCACCAGCCGCACTTAGTCTGGAGACGACATCTTGCGCCTGATCGGCGGGCACGGAAGGCGAGCCGGCGCCCGCCGCGCCTGCCGCCACTGCCGCTTCCTCCACCCCGGGGAAGAACGGCGACTTGCCTGCAACAAATAAAGAAGATGGTGACTAGAATAGAATAGAATAGAAATAATTTCTAATCAAATACTTATTTACGAGTTCTTTTAAGACGTCACTTTTTACTGTTGATAAGCGAGCAGTGCGATGATGAAAGGTGGCTGTTGGCACCATGTGATTATACCATTTTAAAAGAATATTAATTAAAAACTTTTTCTTTATTGTTAGAAAAGCAAACGAGCAGACGATCCACTGGAAAGCAGTTACCGTCGTCAATATGAGTCAACATGCAATACGAGCAGTTGCTTGTGCTTTGCTAGCCTTTTGAACGTTCGTAGGCATGTTTTTAAGGCACTGACAAATTGTCTCGCTAATGACACAGCTTACATAGCCGTCACAGCTTGATAGCATTACTTGTTCAGGCATGTTTCAATAATGAAATATTGCTGGTTGTCAGGTTTACCAGACCAAACTAACGAGTCAATGACATTAACATAAAAAACAAGTCTTTGGCTACGGGCCAATCGCTGAAAATATGTCATAAGTCTACTGTCTTGCCTAGTATTGCCTATTGAATAGATCTAGAACATTGCGTAGTCATTTTAAGCCTAAAACTGGCAACTTTTTATTACCAAAGATATGGGCGATTACGGTACCGCCCCGATATCTATATATTGGCATCCGCTGGATATTGATGGCGAGAAAGGGTCATCACCCATTCCGACATCACCCATACCAGTCCCATACCTATATATTGATATAATTTTTTTTATACCACTAAGATGGCAAACAAGCATACGGCCCACCTGTTGGTAAGTGGTTACCGTAGCCTATGAACACCTGCAATACCAGAGGCATTACGCGCGCGTTGCCGACCCTGAAGAAACCTCTTTACCCCCATTTTGAAGAATTATATATTCGGTAATTGATATTTAATATATCTTTTATTGGACCAATGTAATGTATTCTAACTATAATATATAGATTGGATTGTATATTAAAATTTTATATATAATATAATTTACATTGGACAATAAAAGATTTGATGATGGCGGACTTATCCCATAGAGGGATATCTAACAGTCAACTTTTGAGAAGCTGAAAGAAAACTATAGAATGTTCGAGGGTAAAAACCGTACAGCAAAAATAAAAGTTAACAATTATTGTCTATGCATTGCCATTCCTGAGGACTCAGGTGTTATTCCTCTGTACCCAGTAAATTCACGCCATATCGCACCTTTCAAACCGAAACACAGCCATGCAAACACAACTGCTTCGCGGTAGAAACACAAATGAGACATAGCTACCCAAGCATACGACTTTTGTACAGTCTCCTTCTAGTAAATTTTATATACTAATAGACACAAATGAAGCCGCAAGATACAGCTAGTAAAGAATAAATAAAACATATGAAATGCACTGACAGCTGGAACATAAAATGATCGGTATTGCTATGCAAATCTGGGGAGGAATAGCCCCTGCAGTTCGATACCGACTTGATTGTACAGACAAACCAGCTTACGTGGAATGTAAATGTTGAAATGATAACCACTTTCAGGGTACTAACCTCGGTCTAGTTTGTATATACACGAACCGGTGCGATACTAGCAAACAGTTGGCATTCATTTGCTGTTAATATCTTGCCAATATAATCAAATTTTAACTGGATAAATACTAGAGGGAGACTTTATACAAAAGTCGTTGGCTTGGCCACCTCCGTCTCATTCGTGTTTCTGCCGTGAAGCAGTTGTGTTTGCATGGCTGTGTTTCGGTTTGAAAGGTGCGATATAGAAGTGAATTTACAGGGTACAGAGAAATAACATCCGAGTCCTCAGGAATGGCAACGCATGGAGAGTATCATAGGCGAAACAGTACACTCTGTTATGTCCATGGTACTGCTCATGTCATATAGGTGACGGTTACCACTTTCCATCAGGAGGCCCGTCAGCTTATTTGCTATTCTAAGTTCCATGAAAAATAATGACTCAGGTGTTATTCCTCTGTACCCTGTAAATTCACTGCCATATCCCACCCTTCAAACCGAAACACAGCCATGCAAACACAGCTGCTTCACGGTTGAAAATGGGACAGAGGTACCCAAGCAATCGGCTTTTGTACTAAATCTCCCTCTGGTTATTATTATTATAAGTAGTACAGAGTAATATAAAACACAATTTTATTTTTAAATTTAACAACTTGTACTTAACTGAGGCGGATTGTTAATTATTTAGAATGTTTCTAGCAAAACGGGCAGACCAATCAGTAAGTTATATCAGAATCTAAATATGTCAGTCTAAATATGTCCACACATCGCAGACATATACGGTCTAGTCTAGTTTTACGACGCTGCTAGCATTTTCGCTACAAATAAGCTGACACTGTGACTGCAAACTGCAAAGTGAGTGCATTTTTGTCGCATCAAACTCTGTACAGATAAGCAATGACTGGAGTACACCGAGCGAAAATATTATCATTTATTATAACTATATAATTTCATGGTCGAGGAATGGGCAGCTGCGCCTTGTGTTATATTAAAAAGTTACCTATGCAGTATAAATAGGAAACTACAGCACGGGGTTTTTTCTTATGCAACTTAGAATGGCAAACCAGCTGACGGCCCATTAGATCGAAAGTGGTAACCGTCGCCTATAGATATGAGCAGTACCGTGGACATAACAGAGTATACTGTTTCGCCCATATTACCTCCCATGCGTTGCCATTCCTGAGGGCTCAGGTGTTATTCCTCTGTACGCTGTAAATTCACTGCCATATCCCACCCTTCAAACCGAAACACAGCCATGCACACAACTGCTTCACGGTAGAAACACAAATGGGACAGAGGTGCCCAAGCAAACGACTATTGTACAAAGTTTCTCTCGAGATATTATCTGTACCTCTAGTAAATTTGTTTTTATATAATAACTTAGTTTATAGCCAACTAAACTTTTTATATGAAAAAGTTGAGTCCGCTCGATGTGTCTCACACCTAACTCTACAGCTGTAAAGCAGGGCCCTCTGGATTTAGGGTTCGTTCAACTCACTGTGACCCCATTGGCCGGGGTCAACTATTGACTGTTTGGTCGCGTGTGACCCCACCCGAAAAGGTATTGTTAAAATTTAAAAACCTCTAAATTTAAATTTTGTTGTTATAAAGATATTTTGTGACAAAAGCTTTTTTGTATGAGACTTCAAAGCGTTTGACCTTAACCTCACCAGATTTTAAGTCGTGATATGGTTTAAGATTATGGGTTTTTTCAATGGATCACATTCATATGGTTCTTAGTGAATGATAATGGAAAGGTAACCCCGCCTGCGCTATCATACCAGTGAGGGGTCATAGATGAAATTTCAACCAGTTCAGTTAGCCCATTGTGACGGATTCAACAGGAATTAATCACGATGGTTTCTATGGGGAGGTTGACGTTACAGAGTATATTGTTAACCATGGGGATTAACGTCCCATTATTGACAATTCCTCTCCCTCCTATGTTCGTATGATGTAACTACCTATGCTTATGGTGTACAATGGTGGTCCAGCAGAGGGGAAAGGGATTGTTAGTAATGCGGGCTACCAGTCTCATTGCTAGCAATATACTCTGTCAGGTCGACCTCCACGCGGTCGTACTGAATTCCAGGTGTATTCTTTACGGTGGGCTAACTGACCCGTCTTTTCATCCTCACCTATCATCTCTCACCGATGCCCCGCCAGCGTACATCGATAGCTCGGACGCGGTAACCATTCTATTATCATCCACAAAAACCCTACAATACTGTTCGTGCTTAGGCCAAGGCGTTTATCAGGGAGAAATTATGTAATCGTTAACGCATGGCCGACTCGAGCCCAATCGATGGATCGATAACCTCGGCGATTTTTTACTTCGCCTCCGGAATGGAGGTAAAAAAACCGTTTAACTTTTGGTATTGTATGGTACATTCACGACTCTAGTCCCGGATGGAAAGATCAGAGGGCCTAGCATGAATTGTTTTTAAAAATTTCACGGCCGAATGGAACACAGATTTAATGTTAAAATTACACAATACGTATCGTTTAAAAATATAAAAAAATTTGAAAATATCGTTTCCTAAAATGTTCTTTTGACTTTTACGGTAGGATTTATGACGAACAAAATGTTAAGCTTCATATACTGTACCGATTTCAGTATGAATAAAAACACGAAATAAAGTCCGAAAAATTCGGAATTTCACTTCATGGTAGACCCCCAGATAAGGTTTTGACTACTCTGATGTAGTAGCCGAAGACTTGATCACTTGAGATTATCAAAAAATGTCTCTGTGCCAATCATGTATCTGTCCAACAGCTGCGCTTACATGGCTGTGGTTTTGTTTAAGGGTGCAATTATCATCCTCATCATCTCAGCCATTATGTCCACTGCTGGACATAGGTCTCACCCGTAGACAGCCACAAGGAACGTTCCTGAGTTACCTGCATCGACTGACTCCCTGCATTGCATGAGGTCGTCCCACCATCTAGTGGTGTATATGATAGTGAGATTACAGGGTACGGAGACAAAATACCTCAGTCTTAAGGAACTAGATGCTGTGTTGATAAAATTACAAGTTTTTAACGATTGAGGGGGGACTATTACCTGCGCTGATAGGAGGGAAGAGTGGCGGTAATAAATAATTACAATATTAGAGGGGCTTAGCAATAAAATTTCTTTGACAAGACGTGCGCAAGATGTCTATCAAATAAGCAACAAAAACATTACCAAAAGACATATTCAAAATATAAAAATATAAAATCTAAAAAGATAAACTTATATAAAAAGAGGTATACCATATATGTATGTAATTACTCCTCTCCATCCAAAAGTCCTAGAAGACATCGCTTTTATCGCCCATTTGGTCGCCCATTGTTTATTTCTTGTAATTGTTTATATTTATAATAAATTTACTATAATAATCTTTTGGAGAAAACAGAGTTAGATCTATCTATCTATCTGTGGCCAAAAGGGACCACGAGTATTCCAGTGTATTATGTTATGTTTACGGTGCTATCCATGTT